CCTCAAAAACCATAGCAAAGCACCGCCATTTTTGGGTCCTAAGCCTCTCCATGGGACCCAGTGGCCATACTCTCTCAATATAGGTACTCTAACCTACGGGAAGGATCGATAGGCAGATTGCTCGCAACGAACACCTTAATAATCGATTGTTTACCATAGCTTCAAATTGGGCAATATCGATAATCGATCATTCGCGCCTCGCCACTAGTCGTTTGCGCTTGTTCCGCGACGGGGGCACACGACAATTCTGTTGCAGTTAGGAAAAACGTCGTATAATCCCTCAGACGTTGCCAAATCTCCTTCGAGAAATCACGGATTTCCCAGAAAATTTGCGAATATTTTCCTTCCGATTTTTGAGAGAATTTTGTGCGTAATTCGGCCTAAATAGTCTGAAAATTTCGAGGAAAAATATGCATAGCGTTCTTCAAAAATACATATTTTCTGAGAGGCAATTTGGCAACATTTGGATGATTATAAGGCGTTTTTCCTCAGCACGGCAGATGACAACTTGGGGAGCCACCGTCTCGGCCTCAGTCGGACGGTCAATACAGAAAATACTTCATGCACTTTTAGCTCCCTTTGCGACCAAGTGATACTTGTCTTGTGACTCAAATCTACGCCACGTTGTCGGATTGTTGCGGATAATCAGAGCGTTTTTCTCTCAGGTAAAAATGTTCTGCTCGGAGATAAGACAGATATGATGGACTAACTGTAGGGTCTCCATCTAGACATTGACATTGGATCTAGAGTCCAGACTCCTGAAAACGTTGACAAGAGAAAGGACTCTTGATTCAATCAGATTTCAGCTTGAATCAAAAGGAAATCCGCTCAAATTAAGAGGCTTGGTTCTTGATTTAAGCTTAAATCTGATTGAATCAAGTGTATTTTTTCTTGTAGATGTTTTTAAGAGTCTGGACTCTAGATACAATGTGTTTTTTCCCAGTGTAGTTCCTGTAATTGCAAACTGTAACCAATTCGTCTACATCACCGCCCCTTATGATTCTTTACAAACTACTCTTTTTTTCAATAGATGATGCATCAATCCGTCGAACCATATTCGCTCAATTTTGAAAGCTCAATGTTGCATACTCTCCATGGGCTCCTCGTGGGCTCATACATTCGAGAATTCATCTGAAATTACCGAAAGGCGTTATTTTTCGTCGTTCCCGCGAGGCTGAAGCGAGCAACGGCAACGGCGCATAACGCGGCTCCACGATTTGATTTGTAGATAGCCGTAATTTCCATCGATTGTCGATCGGTCCTCGGCGAGCAACTAATCACCGTACTTAAAGGATAATACGTGCAATTACCGATCGGCGAGATGGTATTTTCGCATGGGGCATCGTGTGTCCTTGGTCCTGGCCCGAGTAAACATATGGTCCTGCTTCACGGTATTCAAATCAGCGAAGAACTCGATCATCGATAATCGCTATTTCCCTATTTAAGCTATGGTAAATAATCGATTATTACGGCGTTCGTAGCAAGCACCCTGTTCATCGATCCTTTTTCATTGGTTTAAATGGCAGATCAATCGATATATCGCAAAGCACGCCGCGCCACTGGTAAAACTCCAAATGGACTCGGGATGGAGATCGCGGGCAATCGGGCATGCCGCTCAAGGACCCGCGCTCTCCGTCAAAACCACGTAAGTCCGGTTGGACGTGTAGGTAGGTGCGCGGTTTTTGAGGTTGATGATTCGATTCCGGAAGAGATCTGCGATGCACAAAGGCGATGCATCACTCTACCGATTCGGCATTCGCTGTGGGTGACGCGGAGACACGTAAAAACAAACGAGGCTCTTTCTGCAGGGTGGCAAAATTTCATCGAGTAGGACAGACTCGGATCTCACGACTCCTGCGGGCTGATTATTGAAATTTATAGACAAAGCTGTAGACGAGGGAGACAAAGGGTGCGAGGGGGGAGGCTGTGTGGATCATAAATCTCAAAAAGTCTAGAGATCATAAGAGTAAAAAAATATCAAATTACTTAACCTAATTTTATTATTTATAGATAATTCAGCTTTATTATAATAATTTAAAAAAAGGAGGGTTGCGGAGGCTATTAAAGTCCTTAAATTAAATCAGTAAAAAATTCTTATTGAGATAATTAATCACCTTGATCAAAATATCAATATTAAATAAAATCACCATAACGGCCTCATTTGTGGTATTAAAGTTAATCAACTCTCATTAAAGATAGGCGGTCTTATCATGATTGATTTAAAAGATCATCACTTACTTTAAGCTTTTTAATGATCTTGAATTTTCTAACCAAACAGAAAATCTTTGATTTAAAACCACTTCAACCATAATAGGTATAAATCTATGATAACTCCGTAAATCCGAGCTGAAGCTCTCCTGTTAGTTGAAAGGGGTGGTTCTCATAGGTTAAGAGGGAAAATAATGGACTAACCATATACGGTCTCCAGGAAGGATGCCGTTAGTTAGCCAACCTCCTTTGTCCGCATTAGAAAAACTCGCTTCCACCAATACTACCGTGCCAAGGAAAAACGCCGTATGAACCTCCGGGCGTTGCCAACATTGCTTTGATTGAATGCGAATGTACATGGAAAAGTTGTAATAATTTTTCATTCAATTTTTCTGACATTTTTTTCGCAATTTTATCTAAAATATCAAAAAATGATACGAAAAAGTATGTACTTTCCTCGAAGAAACATGTTTCATCCGGGGAAATTTGGCGACTCTCAAATTATCATACGGCGTTCTTCCTTAGAGCGGTGGCATAAGATCACTCCATTTTATCTTCTGTTTTCTTTGTCGATAGCCCTGTCCATCTATTTCAAAGATCAGCTCCTTGGGAAACGATAGCTCCAGAAAAATTATACCGCCCCAAAAATAATACATTTCGTGAACATTGTTCGAGGGGCATGCCCGAACCCTCTTGGTATCTCTGCGATTAAACTTCGGGTATAGGACACACCTATCAGATCCGTGTCTTCTATTTTTCGCGGGATTATGGTTGAGAAAACTTTACGCCCGAGGGAACTCCGCGCCTCTCCAAAAATCTAAAAATGTGGAGGAAATCGAACGGACTAAAATTGCTTTTCGCCTTTGTCACAGCTGAGGCTCTGAAACAGACACGGGGGACTGGTTCGTCGGAAGTCCGATGGAAAAATATTAAAAGTTTCATAGTTTCAGCTCGCACGCAAAAACAAAGCGAAAGCAGAGCTCTTAGGATATTCGATGGATACGAGATATTCAATGTTTGAGATGCTCTTTTTTTCACTTCGTGCGAGCGGAACACAATGCAGATCCAGTAATAATACCTGTTTAATTCCGAATACGATACAATACTGCAGCAGCATTGAAAGACTGCCTCCCTTTTTACGTTTGGAAGGATTATACTTCTGCATCTGCGGTCCTCATGAATGAAGCTGCGTTGTCAAATTCGACATATCTTTTGCAATGCGCGTGTAACTCTGCGGGGTATAACATTATTTTTTTTTAAATATTTTATTATTAATTTTTTTCAGGTCTATTTTAACAAATCAAGATTATAGATACAAAGAACATATTAGTAAATTTGGACCGAGTTTCTCAGAAAGTAACAAACTTAGATGCTTGCTTGGGTTCCTCCTGGGAGGAGACGTAGGGGACGCCTAGTGAAAGGTTGGCGACACGGAGTGTTAAATGAGATGAGGGAGTGTCAACTCCCTGATGACCTGGGGGAAGACTGAGCTTTGTGGCGATTAGGCGTCGTAAAGCGCCAAAGAGACCAAACGTGCAGAGCGCTGTTTCCGAAAAATTCAAGAAATTCGTCCCTGCTCCGGTGAACTTCCGGTTCTTTTATTGTCGAAGATACTGCAGTAGGAGAGGATATAAAACCCTCGATTTAATTTTGAAATCAAGCGGCAATTTACATTTTCCTCGGTGGAAAAAGCGTCGCGTAGTGTCTCCTAAACCCCCTGAAATGTATCTTCTTGCTCGTGGTATAGATTAAATAAATATGAATTCCGTAATCATAAGGGGGGGGGGGCATTTCGCGCCATGGTTCTTACGACGAAAGGAAATGAGAAAAAGATTACCTAGGTTCATTCTCACGAGGGAATTAAAAAAGGGCAAACGCGATGCTATCTCAACAGATAACTAAGCGTGTTTCTTTTCGAAGGAAACTATGTAAAAATGAAATAAATTACAAGCGTTATATCCATGTAATTCGCCTGCACTATGGTCCTTTTTTGATGTATTCATTTTTGTAAGCTTCTTCTTATTGAAAAGAGCCCCAATATGCACCTACAGTCTTGGTAAATCAAAAAATGTGTTTTGTGATTGCGACTGTTATTTAAATCCGATCGCCGATGGCTAGTCTAAATCAAAACTAGTATATCTTTTTGAAAGTAAGTTTGGCGACTGTGTTGTCACTTGGACAAGTTGACGTGATATCATATGCAGTTTTGTCACTTTTCCCTTATGGTATTCGCTTTCCTGTTGAATTTGAATATAATACTTGTTTAATGCTTGAAGAAACGAGCTTCTCTGATGGACGCTGAAAAAAATATTAAATTTCATCCACTCCACAGAGCTTAAAAATTCTCTCGCCTCTCTTCTGTCGGGCTAAGAAAGAACGCCGTATGAAAATTCGAGAGTTGCCAAAGTTCCTTTGATTATATACTTACTTTTGAAGAAATTGATGAATATTATTCCTTGAGATTTTCAGGAACTTCAGGTGAAATTGCGAACAAAATTATTTGAAAAATTAGAAGGAAAATATTCATCAATTTACCGGGAAATTCGTGTTTCGTCGAAGGAAATCCGGTGACGTCTGAAGGTTCTTACGGCGTTTTTCCTTTAGCACGGCAGACTAGCCTATACCGAAGTGCTTTCCGTGCTTTCAGTGGAATTTCCGCCACGATTATATCGACCATTTCCTTCATCTATTTTTCTTCATTTCCTCAGTGCGTGCCTTTATCATTTTCTGCAAGTTTGCTCGTTCATTTGTTTCATGGAAACTTATGCAGTTTTATCCTTGATTTGTTGCAGCCACAAAATTTAGTCATGATGGGAGACTTTCCTAACTGTGACATCAAAGTCTGTGATTTTGAAATATCTAGAGTAGTCTTGAAAGGGACTGATGTACGAGAAATTCTGGGAACTCCTGATTATGTTGGTAAGGCATTTTTATTTTGAGTATTATTATTCCTCGCAGCCGGAAAAAGTTCCTCTATTCTGCCCAAGTGTTCTAGCAATTTTTGATAGAAAAAAAAGAAAGAAATAAGAAAGAAAGAAAGTAGTAGTAGTAAAATAATTTTTTTTTATTTTAAAGCGGTGCTTTAGCATCTAAGGCCATAAGTAGTAGTAGTAAAATAATTTTATTTTAAAGCGGTGCTTTAGCATCTAAGGCCATTTAAACCTCTAAAGAAGGCAGTAGAAAGGAAGAAAGTAGTAGTAGTAGTAAAATAATTTTATTTTAAAGCGGTGCTTTAGCATCTAAGGCCATTTACACCTCTAAAGAGGGCAGTAAAGAAATGAAGAAAGAAAGAAAGAAAGGAAAAAAGAAAAAAAAAAGAACTTCTATTAGCAAAAAAAGAACCCGTAACAGACTTTCTCATAAAAAGCATAATTTTTTCGTTTTCTGTTTTTGCTTCGTGCATGAAGACCAGATGATGCCTTAAACTGAACAATAAAAGAATATTCTAGCTATATTTTGGAGGAGATGAAACCTGATGGACTCGATAAAGCCACTAAACTAAACTATGAACCGGGCATTTGACTTCCTATTTAAAACCATAAAAAAGAGCACGTACAATCCACAGACTCCGTAAAAAGCTGACGCTTTTCCCCGCGAAAGCCATCCAAATGATAATTTGAAAAACTCATTAAAAACCAGATTGGATTCCTGTACCTTACCCTAAAAGGTATATTCATATGTAGCTCGTACACACAAATATCTTAATATCATTTACAATAATGATTGATGGTCTGTTTTTTTGTTTCATTTCAGCTCCAGAAATTCTACATTATGAACCAATTACCCTGGCCGCAGACATGTGGTAAGATATAATTGCATTAATAACGATAAAGAATTTCCACGAGAAAATTGTATCGCGTTCATGAAAGCGCTTGATGAGCGGAGTTCATGGTCCTTTTTGACAATTTTTGGGATGTGGAAATTTGAGAGACTACAAATTTAAAAAGGAGAAAATGTACCGAAAAATCATAGCAAAATTTTCCTTTTGAGCACTCGTATTTTAGCAGATTCGTTAGATCATTCTGTCATGCCGAGGATATTGCTGCGTGCTTCAGTGGCGTGGCGCGCTTTGTGATAAATCGATTGATCTGCCATTTAAACGTGCGACAAAGGATCGATATACATGGTGTTCGCAACGAACACCTTAATAATCGATTCTTTCCCATAGATTTAAATGGGGAAATATCGATAATCGATCATTCACGCCTCGCCACTGGTGTGCTTAGTTTTCCCGCACTGAAAAAAAAAAAAAAAAAAAAAAAAAAAAAAAAAAAAAAAAAACACATTGGATCTAGAGTCCAGACTTTTAAAAACATCGACAAGGAAAAATACTCTTGATTCAATCAGATTTAAGCTTAAATCAAGAGCCAAGCCTCTTAATTTGAGCGGATTTCCTTTTGATTTAAGCTTAAATCTGATTGAATCAAGAGTCCTTTTTCTTGTCAATATTTTCAAGAGTCTGGACTCTAGATCCAATGTGTTTTTTTTCCAGTGCGGTAGTTTTCATACATAAATGGATTCCATCAAATTTCAGACACCTGCAAATTCTCCATTCGCGTCTCGTTTAATCATTAACCATTATTCATACAAGTTGCTGACAAAGAGTCCAAAATGAAAACGACAAGAAGTCATCAAGAATTACTATTAAGATTAAACCAACGACATCTTCAGAAGTATCATTAGCCTCCACGTGCCAGATTTATTTGTAAGGACCTAGCTGTCATTATACCTCGGAGCGAGAAATTGGCAGTGTTGTCTCGAGTACCGCCCCCGGAGCCCCTTGGAAAATTATACAAGGGCGCAAAAAAGCATCCGGGGGAGCCTTTGAAACTTTTTTATCGAGGCGCGCTAATCTCGTTCATTGTTTTCAGCACAACAACCTTCTCCTCTCTCCGCCTCCGTGCTGTTGCGCTGAGGAAAAACCTCGTATCACCATTCATACGTTGCCAAATTTCCTCTTTAAAATTATAAATTTTGGAGGAAAATTATGAATATTTATTTTTTCAAACTTTCATATGCTGTACATTATATTGGCAGTAAAATTCTCGAAAAAAATTGGACGGAAAATATACAGCAGGCTTTTTCAAATTCGTGTTTTATTCTGGGCAATTTGACAACGTCTTAAGGCGCATACGCCGTTTTCCCTTAACTTGGCAGCGTAGTACTCGACTTTTTCGAGCTCCCTCCTCGGAGCGGCCGTTTCGTAAATCTGGAGCGAAGCGGCACTTGAGAAGCATTCAAAAGGTGGCTCGAACGCCCAAAGTTTAGTTGTCTTCGCTGCTCATTGAGGCGAAAGTTTGCCGGCGGTAGTTCAGATTAGGCGTCACGCTTCGTAAACTTGACGAGGCGGATCCTTAAGGTTCGCCGAGGCTCTACGCATGGAAAACACACTAGGATCCTTCCTATGTTGCCAGATTGCCTTCGATAAAAACCGAATTTTCACGGAAACTCACAAATATTTTACTTCTAATTTTTCAGAGAATTTTATTCGCGATTTTATAAAAATGATCTAAAAATATCGAAGAGAAATATTCATAATTTTTCTTTAAAAGAGATATTTTATCCTGAGCAATTTGTCAATGTTTGGGGGCTCTTACGGAGTTCTTCTTTGGCACGAGCAAAAATAAAACCAATTGAGTCTTGTTCGGAGTCTTCGCGGCGAAAAAGTTGAGGCCGCTTTGCGAGAAAAAAAAAACGAGGAAAGCTGTAGTGTCAAACTTTCGAGCAGCGCATTTCATCGTTCTACCAATTATTATGAAATCAAATTTCCCCCGTTGAAAAGTTCCTGAGTGTCGTTACGGCAAATTATGGGGAATTTAACCCTCTGTATTATGCAGACATTTACCTTAGTCTCTGCCTTAAGTTTTGAAACCAGTTGCGTGGCGTGCTTTGCGATATAACGACTGTTATACCATTTAAACCTATGGAAAAGGATCGATAAACAAGGTGTTCGCAGCGAACACCTTATTAATCGATTCTTTACCACAGGTATAAGTGGCATAATAATCGATAAATCGCAATTCACGCCACGCCACTGTTTGAAACGGCTTATATCAGCCTCGATATCTTTGTCTAAGAAACTTCCAAGTTTGGCTTTCGTGTCTTTGAGTACCCTCCTCCTTCATCTTGGCTTTAAGTTTAGAATAAGGGTTTTTGACCACTTCAGCATAGGCGATAAATTCAACCAAGTAATGAGTGTCTTCGTCGGAAAAATAAACTTGGGCCAAAAATTTTGCCCGACTTTCCGAGCTCCGACTTATGTCCACGCGATGCTGTGTTACCGAAGGGAACAGATGCGCCCAAAATCACAAAACCGAGTTCCCTTCAAAATTTCAAAATATCAATTCTTAACAAATTTAAGTGACTAGTTTACTTAAATCCGTAAATTCTTATTTATTGAAAAAAAGGGCTGGTCGTGAGAAACTAATAAGTGCTCAGTGACTGGTGACATTTCAGAGAAAATAGCAGTAAGTTCACATTTTTCCGTGAGAGAGCAGCAGTGCTCCTTCTGCTGTCTTGAGTAAGAGGAGTCTTAATCTGCCAATTTTTCACCTTCAAATTTGTTTGTTACGTAACCAAGATTAAGCATGCAAAATATGTATCGAGTACTCTGACTTTCTTAACCCAAGTGGCACAAAAACGAAAATTTTGAAATTTAATGGAATAAAATCGCGATTTTTTATACCATGAAATTGCAATGATTTTACACCTCGTAGTTCATGAATGCCAATTTCAAATTATCGATTAAATGAGTTCCAAGTGTGATGAAGATAAAGATAGAATATCAGTGAATAGACAGCATACACAACACTCCGGCATCAATAAGAGTACCTTGTAATCGCAATCTGTGCTACTTGGGCATGAGATGGGTATCAAAATAATGTGCCCTTTCAATAAGAATCGAGGGTGATATTTGTCGATTTTGAATCATCCGAACAATATCTAAGAGTCTTTTGAGTGATTGTCGACAGTTTCACGAAGAAAGGAGGATTCGTTAAACGAGATTATCCCAACCAACGTTACCAGGTCTATTTCCTCACAACTTCAGGTTTGCACTTTACGGCGCTTGAATACAACTATTCGTACTCGGTGGATGTCCGTGTTGCATACACGAAAAAATGCAGGCGTTTTGGCTTGTCTTGCCACCGCGACACAGTTCTTTACGGTAACACGGTTGCTTGAAAGTTTGCATGTAAGAAATAGAACCCCTTCACATTTTTACTATTCCTTTTTCATCCTATGTTGCAGGTCCTTAGGAGTAACTACCTATGTTTTACTCACAGGATTTTCACCTTTCGGAGGTGAAACTGATCAAGAGACATTCTGCAATATTTCTCAGGCGCAGTTAGATTTCCCCGATGAACTGTTTGAAGACGTTTCTGAGGAGGCCAAAGACTTCATCAAGCGACTTCTTATCAGGGATCCTAGGTATGCTCATTCGGATATCGAATTCTTGTTAAGTACTTGGTTGTAAGGCAGTGCCATTCACGAAATCAACATTCGAAGGTTTTTTGAAAGCTGCACAAGCAATAAGAAATTGGTCTGTTTTTACGTTTTAATGGGTTAGAGGGAAAGGAATGCTCTGGAGTGGTTCTGAAAGCTCTCTCAACAGGGTGTCGACTAAAATTTTATTTTGAATTTTTCTGATTTTTCCTGGTATTTCAAATGAAATTTCCTGATTTTTTGCACAAATACAGTGACACTCGTGTAGTTTCACGAACCAACATATTTGATTAATTGAATCAAATGCTTCACTTTTGCATGTGCTAAACTGCATTTGGTTAAAAAATGCTTGAGGCTTTCAGAATTTTGTGATCTATGACCGATTTTTCTGACTTTCCCTGATGACACTGAAGATCCTTAGATTTTCCGCTTTCTCGGGTTTTAGCTGGCGTTAGATACCCTATTTAGAGAGATTTAAAAAAAATAAAAAAAAATAAAAAAAATAAAAAAACTAAAAAAACCATGTTTTCATAAACAATTAAAAAAACATGTTTTCATGAATAATTTTAAAAAAAATGTTTTCATAAATAATTTTAAAAAACATGTTTCAAACATGTTGTTCGTGTTGTCAAATTCGTTGACATTATTTTTACATTTTTTAGCACTAATTTTTTCTCGGACTTCCACCGGCCCTTCAGAACCTCGTTTCTGTCTTTCATTTCCATGCGTTCTATCACTCCTTACCCATTCTGATAAAACTGACAAAAGACTTCCTATTTAATCAATCTCTCAATCCGTCTGTTTCAGCGAACGGATGTCAGCGAAGGAATGCCTCCGCCACCCATGGATCATGAAACACCGCAAGACGCCCCTGACCCCGGCAGCATCGCGGACGAACCTTCAAGTGGAAAAGCCAGAGCTGAGCGAAGGCCGCGGGCGGGTGGGCTGTTCCTCCTGCTCGCAGACCCCGAACCTCAACAAACGCAACCTCCGCAAGTACCTCTCCAAGTCCCGCGAGGCCCTTTTCGAGCGCGTCGTCTCCCAGCATCGCCTCGCCTCCGAGCTCGAGAAGAAAGAGAACTCCCTCCGCAAGAGCACCCTCCTCAACCAGTACAACAAGACCCGACGCCTCTGCGAGAGCCAGATGAACCTCATCTCGAAATCCCGCGAACGACAACTCCTCTGCGAGCAGGGGCTCTCACCTAACTTCAGCAAATCCCGGGAAAAGCTCTACGGGCTGAGGAGTCTCTCCAAGTCCCACGAGGTCCTCAACTTGGGGCTCTGCCAGAGGATCAAAACCACCAACGACTCGGGCACCAAGACCGCCAAACCGGAGTCCAAGCAACACCTCACGCTACCGACCCCCTATTCCATCACTCACTCCAACTCCACATCCAAGCTGGAAATCTCAAACGATATCACGAGCGTTATCGGAGGCTGCGATAAGAGCAAGGACGCAGACAAGGAGAACTCCCTGTCGCCGAAGAGTCGGAGGAATTCCGCCACCGAGAAGGAAGACCAAAAGGACAAACCGGAAGTCGAGGCCGCTCCGGAAGTGAGTGTCCGCGAGGGCGATGCTGACGGGGACTGCCATAGCAGCTCGACCGACTCGGACGATCTGTCCGGGAGCTGCGAGAACATCTGCGACGACCAGGAACCGCGCTTCACCGTCCAGCAGCTCATCTCGGCCTACAACCTCCACCAAGAGGTCGTCACGAAGACGTCGCTGGAGGTGACGATGAGCTTGAGCGACAACCAGGAGAACAAGATCATCCCGACGGCGATCCTGAACACGGCCGAGAACCACAAGTTCCCGACCGGACCCAACGCCCTGCGCCTCTTCATCCCGGATATCGACATCGCGATGAGGAGAACGAGAAGACGCTCATCAAAAACCAGTAGTATCACCACCATAGAGGAGAGCGTCGATGAAGGGAAGGTACCCGATGCAGTTCTGGAGCGGCTCAAGGACCCTAGCTCCAGCCCCAGTTGTAGCAACCCCTCAACCCCCACCTCCCCTTTGACCCCGGAGATCAAACCCTCCTCACCCCTAGACTCAAGCAAACCCCTTAAAACTAGTCCAGAAAGCCAACCCAAGGAGGTGGCGTCTTCGTTAGAGAATCTATCCTCGAGGCGGGGTAGTTCGACCTCCGTGACCTCCGTGACCTCCGTAACGACGAAGAGGTCGCATCCCCCGAAGCTAGTCCGGTCGCTGACTGAGAGTAACGTAAATAGGACCCATTCTAGTACCTCCTTCCTTAAGACTTTAGATAAATTTAATAATATGATCAAAGAGGAGTCGAAGCAGAAAGACGTCAGCCCGAAGCAGAGGAGGAAATCGAATCCGGCTCTGATGAATAAGCAATACTTCTGAGCGATGAGGTTTTTTTTGGAAAATGAAATCGTTTTCTTGTATCGTGGGATGGAGGAGCGAATTCCTATAAACTGAGGAAGTTTCCTTTTCGACTGGAAAATTTCATTTTGGAAAGCTAGGTTTCATGTCCTTTGAATAGAATTAAAAAGGACCAAGAACCAACTCTCCATTTGCGCGTTCTTGTTTTTACCTACACGCTTGCCGACTTTGCTAAATACTCCCGTGAGCTATAGGCAACCGTAAACACATGGCCTACGCTCATGTAGTGAAGTACCTAGATGTGTTAAGGTAGATTTTGAAATTGACTTTGTACCCGAGAAGATTGGGTAAATACTGTGTTTCTATTGGAAGAGCGAGAAAAATTTTAAGGGAGGAGTCGGATCGCAGACTACCTACTGTGAAACATTAATAAAGTACCAAAAATATTTAACATTGCATTTCGAACGAGCTCCTGGGCGAATGAATTTAATTATTACCTATTTTAATCTAGAGCCGTCCAGTCAAGACCCGTCGCAGATGAACTCAAGAGCCGGTTTTTAGACGAGGGTGAATAGTTCATAAAACGAATCGTAAATTATAGTTAAACTCATTGAAAACTTTAGTCAGTTACTTATAGTTTCAATTTGATTATTGTAAAATACTCCATGATCCTAATTTATCTTTTTAATTGTTAGATTAGCTCATAGGCATTGTAATTATTTTATTTAAAAAATATACATTTTGAAGTATATTCGTGCTCTGTTTTTTGACGCGACCCTAGTATTACTGTTGTAAATAATACAAACTCTATTCCCAGTTGTAGGCCTGATGAGTTATTTTCTCGCCAAGCGGATACTTCGGAGGAATAACTAGTTAAAACTTGGTAGGGGGAAAGTTTAAAAAATTGAGTAAAGAAAAATTAACATTCATCACCTCGCGCAGTTGATGATTAGGTACTCCAAAGAGACAGCATTCTTGTTCCTTGGGGCCCATTTATTATGCAGTAAAAGTTTCGCGAGTCAAGCGGCGCTTAAGACAAAAATCCGGTCAAGACGAAACTTTTCTAGATCCCTGGATAGTTCGGCGTACAGAGCTTCCGCTGTTTCAGTTTTCCAGAAAGAATGAAAATTTATGATCGAGCTGCATAAAATATTATCATAAGTTTCCGACATACTATCCCAATAAAATGAAGAATTTGAGATTCACACACTGTGAATATGGATATTAGGATTATGTATTGCTCTGCTGTTTGCTAAGTAGAAACACCGTTCAAACATTTGAATGTTGCCGAAATTCCCCCAAACAAAACATCTTATTTTAAAGGAAGTTATGAATATTTCTCCTTGAAACTTTCAAAATTTCCGGATTCAATAATTGCGGCGTGATACCTCACGAATTCCGAAGTGTTCAAATAGTTGTATCATTGCGCCTTAAAAATGCGACGGAGTATTAAAGTGGAAATAGCCTTCATACACGCTGGCCTTGTCGATTTCCTTTGACATTTTTGCAGTGGTGAATGCATAGCTGAAGTGCGCTCCAGCTAATATTTTATTTAGCAAATGGGTGGTTTTTATACGAAGATTAAAAATAAACAAGTGGTACGGAATAAAACATAAGAATAGGAACTTTGCAAAACGATAATCCGGGTATCGGAACTTTGCTGATTTGAAAACGCCTTCAATTGCGGCGTGATACCTCACGCATTCCGGAGAGTTCAAATAGTTGTATCATTGCGCCTTAAAAATGCGACGGAGTATTAAGATGGAAATAGCCTCCATGCACGCTTGTCGATTTCCTTTGACATTTTTGCAGTGGTGAATGCATAGCTGAAGTGCGCTCCAGCTAATATTTTATTTAGCAAACGGGTGGTTTCTATACGAAGATTAAAAATAAAAAATAAACAAGTGGTACGGAATATATCAAAAGAATATAAACTGTGCAAAACGATGATCTGGGTAACGAAACTTGGCTGATTTGAAAACGCCTTCAATTAATTGTGACGGTAAAAACTCCACAAATAAAGGAAAAATACGCCCAAAAATTTCGAAAATTCCGTATTTTTTTAGAGGAATTTTGCAACTCCACAATTTTTATACGGTGTTTCTTCTTTAGCATAGCAATTTATGTGGACGATACCCGCAAACTTCAAAAGTGAGAAATACTGGCCCGAAAACGCAAAGATAGAGTGTTGAGACCCACTCCAAAAGAAAAAGTACCTAAATAATGAAAAACTTAAAAAGAAACTTTGCCATGCCGTTCAACGCCTTTACCTCGGATTTTATGCGAGGAACCTTAGGCCAGTTTCTTCAAAATACTTCGTGAATGATCCGTTTCTTATGCACCCAGTCTACTGGAGTGGCGAGGCGTGAATGATCGATTATCGGTATTCCCCCATTTGAAGCTATGGCAAAGAATCGATGAATAAGGTATTCGTTGCGAACGCCCTGTTCATTGATCCTATTCCACAAGTTTAAGTGTGAGATCAATCGATAAATCGCAAACCACGCAACTATTCTGTGCCAGTATTTCCAATTCCTCTCCCCCTCCCCCCTCTCTCTAATTAGAACTTTCAGTTAGTGCCAAAAAAACATTGCGATCACGACTGTCCAGTAACTTTATCAATATATCTCGTTAGTAAGAATGATGCATTTTGAACGGAATGGACGGCTGCGGCTGACGAAAACTTTCCTTGTCCAGTGACAATTTTGCAAGTTGGCAACAATGTAACTTCTTCATTTTAATCCATTTCAAAAATCGATTTTAGATGAGGCAAGCTGCCTCACCGAGAATCGACCTTTGGCGAGGCAGTTTACCTGACCGCGAATCGATATTTGAAATGGATTCAAATGAATGAGTTATAGTGTTGCCAACTTGCGAAATCCTCACTGCCACAGCCCATATGTTAGGTGGGGCAACATATGAACACATATAAGACAAACCTCATTTCTCACTTTTGAAGTTTGCGGGTATCATCCACATAAATTGCTATGCTAAAGAAGAAACGCCGTATAAAAATTGTGGCGTTGCAAAATTCCTCTGAAAAAATACGGAATTTCCGAAATTTTTGGGCGTATTTTTCCTTTATTTATGGAGTTTTACCGTCACAATTAATTGAAGGCGTTTTCAAATCAGCCAAGTTCCGTTACCCAGATCATCGTTTTGCACAGTTTATATTCTTTTGATATATTCCGTACCACTTGTTTATTTTTTATTTTTAATCTTCGTATAGAAACCACCCGTTTGCTAAATAAAATATTAGCTGGAGCGCACTTCAGCTATGCATTCACCACTGCAAAAATGTCAAAGGATATCGATAAGCCCAGCGTGCATGGAGGCTATTTCCATCTTAATATTCCGTCGCATTTTTAAGGCGCAATGATACAACTATTTGAACTCTCCGGAATGCGTGAGGTATCACACCACATTTGAAGGCGTTTTAAAAACAGCGAAGTTCCGATACCCGGATTATCGTTTTGCATAGTTTATATTCTTTTGATATATATAACATACTTAACACTCAGTGGAATTGCAATGTTTTTATTAGGTAATTGTTACCTCTTGCAATCCGTGCTACTTGGGAAAGCGCGCTAACGTTTTAAATTATTTGCTTCCAACTCGTACTTAAAACGCTTTCGTGGAGGAATCGAAGACACTTTTTCAGTAGTCAGGAGAGTGAGACTGATTTTTGCTCCAAGGATCTATCTGCACTGCACTCCCCATTGAAACTCCCCGTTTTTCAGTAAAAAAGTGACAGGAAGTTCATGTCTCAAACTGAGAAATGTGTTTCCCAGCTTTTCTCTCTAAATAGCAGATAGAAATTCATATTCCATTGCACCGGTAGGTGCCAGTGCATGCGATGCTCTCTTGGCCGCCCCGGTCTTCCTGTTATAAAGCAGCCACTGCTACTTCCACGATTCAGATACTTTCACTATCGATATTTTCCCATTAAAAGCTGTGGTAAAGAATCGATTGTTAAGGCGTTCGCCGCAAACACCCTGTCTATCGATCCTTTTTCATAGATTCAAATGGCAGATCAATCGATTTATCGCAAAGCACGCCACTGGATTTTCCTCGCGAGATATTACTCTCAAGCCGTCATTTGTTCCTTTCATTTTTTTTTTCGTAAAAAGAAAAGTTATGAGAATTTCTTATCAAGAAAAAGGAGGAAACAAATAAACTTAGCAATAACTTAGGATGCAGCTGATGCGCACTTGATTAATTACTCGGCTCTTCTCTCTGTTTTCCTTTTCGATTCCTTCGCCGTTTGACGGGCGGGACCCGGAGAATATCAAGATTCAACCACAGAACGTGTTGTACATTCTAAAAATCTGAATGGCTTACACTGCATTTGCCTTTATTCCCTTTTACCCTCTCACCCCTCTCCCCCATCAACCCTTCGTCTACGGGAACGGTAATGTAGCGATATTATTAAATTCCGCAACCCACCCACATTTGTTTAGTCAGATTTCTCCGCTTGCAACAAAAATGAGAAGTAGGTAAGCAACCGAGCAACGAGGATTGTACATATACTTACAGGGTGATTCAAGGTTGAATGGGAAGAATTCATCAGTCACTCTTTCTTTGGGCCAAAATATGAGATTGCGGTGTTCAATTTTTCCTGAAAGCCATCTCCGCTGTGGCACAAGCTTTCACAGTTAAACGGTTTTTTTTTTTCTCCGTAGGTACTCCACCGTGCTAAGGAAGAACGCCGTATGAGCCTTCAGGCGTTGCCATATCTTTTTCAATAAATAACGAATTTACGGGGAACATCGTTAACATTTTGTAGACAATTTTTTCCGCACTTTAATCTAAAATATCTGAAAACTTCAAGGGAAAATAAGCATGACTTTCCCCAAAAATACATGTTTTATCCGGAGAAATTTGGCAACTTTCGAATGTTTATACGACGTTTTTCCTTAGCACGGCAGTACTGTTACGCCGTGTGTGGATAGAATACGATGGCCCTTAGTTAGCAGATGTCGCATGAGGCGAACACTAAATTTCACTAGAATACCTTAATACAACTAATCGGGCTCCGTGGGTGTCCGTGATGCATATGCACAAAATTGAAGTTAATTACTTTCGGTGTATAGGTGCAACATTTTCAAAGAATACTCCTGCTAAAATATACAGTATTTTGAACCCAAACGATTTGTCTGCGGTAAAAATGGAATAACTGGATTTCCTTGAAATCATTCATACCTCAATTTTTTCAAAGACTGCACTTAAGCGCCTTATCCTCCAAGCCCCTCAAATATATCGTGCCGAGATGCCGAGAACGAACGAAGTAGGGATTGAGCAATTAGCTAACATGTCCGTTAACCTGTAATATTCGGTTATTTTCAATTCGCCTTCAGCTGCGTTCACAGCAATTGTTGTTTCGAATATGTTGTGCGTACTGATTTCAGCTGATTACATACTTGACTCACTAAAGGCGTACTATGTGCGAAAATGACTCATTCTGTCGGAGAACAACAGAAGTGAGATTGAATGAATCGCTCAATCCCTACTTCGTTCGTTCTCCAACAGATGGCGCTACTTGCGCACATATAACGCCTTCAGAGAGTCAAGTATGTAATGAGCACGACAACATATTCGCAACAACAATTGCGGCAGACGAAGCTGAAGGCGAATTTTCTTCGCTCGTAAAACGCCTTCAGAAAGTCAAGTATGTAATGAGTTGAAATCAGCACGCTCAACATATTCGTAACAACAATTGCTGCAGAAGCAGCGGAAGGCGAATTGTTCAGTTGAAAAAATAGTATGATAAGAAGTCTACATGCAACGAGAGGGTATGTATCCGATCAACATGAATCGAACGAAAAATGTGAACCGATCGAAACCGATTCAATGAGCGGTGAGATAGCTCAGTTAGCTACGCCACTGTTCTGCATCTAGGAGAACGTCACTTTTTGTGCGAGCGGGGGTTCGAATCTCGTAGGGGACAGCTAATTTTTACTGGTTGTATTGAATGTTTCAGACCAATCATCTAACAATAATTAATACTTGGCAACTTAGGAAGCACATAGGTCCCTTACGATGCGTATTCGGGCATATGTGTAGAGTAAAAATATCATACGTAGGGTGTCCCAAAAGTACCGGGACTGGTTCTGTAACTTCAAAAGTAAGATAGATACAGACATGATTTTGGTTTCATTTTAAAGATCAACTCAATACCTATCGATTAAAACCAAGATCAGCTCAATCGAATAAAAATTGACCGAGTTATGACAATTTGAAATTAGTGAGGAAAGTTTACACCTACGGTTTTTAGGAAGATTTTTCGCTTACCAGGATTCAAAAAGTAAATATTCGTATCCACTTTCCTCCGAATCTTCCATAACTTCCTTTTGCTTTTCAAAGTACCGTCCATCAAACCGGATGCACTTTTTCATGCGCTCTTGCCACTTATCCAACATTGTTTTCCTGAATTCTTCCTCTGGGATGGAGTTGAAAAAGTTTTGAATTGCATTCTGGATTTCGGTCTTCGATACGAATCTTCGTCCGCGAAGCTCCTTTTTAAGCGTAGGAAACATCCAAAAATCACATGGAGCCAAGTCAGGGCTATAAGGGGGATGAGGGATTGTTTCAACTCCATTTTTACTCATAAATTCACGTGTTAAGCTGGATGTGTGAGGCCGCGCATTGTCTTGATGGAGTATCCACGAAGCTTTCAAGTCCGACCGTTTCCGGGAAATGTGCATTCCCAACTCCTTTAGTACTTTGCAATAATACGCACTGTCAACTGTTGTGTTTGATGGTACAAAATGTTGATAAATGACACCTCGAAAATAAAAAAACACAATAAGCATCACTTTATCGGCCGACTTTTCGATTTACGGCGATGAAGAATCTTCCTTAAAAACCGTAGGCGTAAACTTTCCTCGCTGATTTCAAATTGCCATAACTCGGTCAATATTTATTCGATTGAGCTGATCTTGGTTTTAATCGATGGGTATTGAGTTGATCTTTAAAATGAGATCAAGATCATGTCTGTATCTATCTTACTTTCGAAGTTACAGAACAAGTTTTTTGGGATACCTTATGTATACTTTACGCCGAAAAAGCGAACCTGAAACTTAAATGCGTTAACTTCCTAAAACCATATATAATCCAACGAAAATAAATAATTGGTACATAACAGCTTTCTTGTATGCAAAGAAAATAATTAAAAATGTTAAAAAAGAGATGTCAACACAAAATTACATAGCCCCTTCAATTCAGAAGATACTACAAACGAACTGTACCTTAACATTTTCATATCCCAGAAGCTAACGTTCCCATGACGAATATTGCCATCGCTAGCGATTGCAAAATCCAACTTGTTCTTTTTTTCTTTTTGCTTCAAGATCACTGAGCACAGAATCGTGTTTGGACGCTTCATCCTTGTAGTTCAGGTGAAAATAATAAGATCTGTCCTAACAACAACTCACTGCGTTCAGTATTAACCGACACATCGCGCTTCGAAAAATTCGGTTTAAGACGTCACTCACTGCGGGAGTGACAGGACACGCTTCATTTCTTCCATCTTGCTTTCATCCAAGTTTTGCGTCGAGTAACCATTGCAAATGTGTGTCTCTCTGACTGATGAGAGCAAGATGGAGGAAACCAAGGGAGTCACTACCGCGGTGGATAACGTCGTAAACCAAATTTTTCGAAATGCGAATCGTCCTACTTGAGCATGAGAGGACTAAAGCCATCCGCCGCGCCGCATTTCTGGTTGGACCGAACAGGTAACCTTAACAATGCACTGAACTAATGGGTGACCGGAACCAAGGGTGTTGTCACTGAATTACTGAAGGTCGTACGTAGCCCTTAAGAAAATATCACTGTTCACGCAGCCTCAAGATCGAAAAATCAATTACTTTTAAAATAATTTTTAGGCTGTTTTCAAGCCTACTTTCGTAATTGTTCAAGCTACTCGTAATTGCTAGAGTCACTTCTTTCTCTCCGTGCCATTGCAGGATTCAGTGATTTGGCAACACCGGATTTCCTCCATTTAAACCTATAGAAATGTATCGATTCTTGGAGGGGCTAGGTGGTCCGAGAAGAATCGATTATTTAGCATAGGTTTAAATGGAGGAAATTCGATGTTGCCGAGTTGCTGGATCCGCCTCTCGCCTCTACGCGAAAATCCAAGCCGACAGTTTTCGGGTGTCTTCGAAGGTAGAGTGCAATTTTTGTCGAAAAAGAGATGTCGATGTCGTTCCAAAATATCCATTTTTCGTAGGTGTATGCAGTCGCTGGCAATTCGCACGCGGCGTGCGTGTGAACTCGTCAAATTGAGATACGTCGCATCGGCATAGTAGGTTTCACTGATTGTGAGCGGTCTGATTATTGAATGTTTAGAGTAGCCCAATAAGACATCGAGTTACGACATATTGCATGGTTAAGATAGGGCTATGTCTTGTCGTGTCGGGCCGACATTGTTTCAATCAGGTGAAGAACTTCAAACGCACGATCTCGCCTTGAAGCGCCTTCAAATCCGGTGATACTCTCCGCTTCGCTAGGCAGTTAGTTTAATTGCCTATCCGAGCCAAACGCAGCCAAGGTTACTTGTTACACCACACGCACTGGCGAGTGTGCTGGTTGTTGCCGGGCATTGACGATGAAAAAAAGTCTAGTGGAATACCAGGCATGATAATCAGTTCTTTCTCTACTAGTGGATTTTAACATTTTGCTATTCACTACAAATAGATTGTAATTTGCCAGCGATTACAACATATCTATAAATAAATGCTTCGTTCCTGTATCACCGAGCATTTGTTGCAGACAATTGGTAAAGAGAAAAATTCAAAGCACTTTGACAGTGCTTTCCAAAAACTCAAGCCTTCTAGGGCCTTGAAAAAAGTTTCAAAATGAAGTACTTATCAAGGCTGTGCGAACCATGGAAATGTTGAATTCAAGGGAGACTTTGGTCTCGTAGAGGGCGCACTGCAGGGTGCTCAGTACTCACAATCAGCCCCCTCTACAAAAATGTCTCATTCAAACCATGACCACTACAACTGTCTAGTCTGATTAAAACGGTGTAAAACCCGTGGAATGACTGATGATTGCTTTTCGAAACCAAAATCAAAGATTAGCGAGGACTTTCCACTATCCGGGGACTGTAAATCAAAGAAATCATAGAGTCCGTGCAAATAAGTTAGTTAACCACTTTTTGACTGCAATAGAAGAGCCTTCATCTTGATCCTTGTATTTACTTTCAATGCTAAACTGACGTCTCACGACCTTCTGTCGCAGTCAACAAGTGCCTAAACTTATTCAGCCTGGACTCTACAGATGAAGCACGGCTGGAAAGGTTTTAGAGAAAAATCGATGAGAAATTATTTTAAACCACTATTGATAGGAGGCAAAGTAAGTGGCATCTACACACTCAATCTTAAAAATTACTTGGAAACGTCCTATAAAAGATTGAGGAAGTCATTCAACATTGTAAAGTCTTCATTTCAGGAGAATGACGGGGAGCATGAAAGAAAAGAAAAAATCCTGAGGAGAAAAGAAAAATGGCCTGAGGCTTAAAGACTTTCCAATACACTTCAACAATGTTATAGGATATTTGACCATTTGAATATTAAAAAAAAAATTTGAGAGTGTACATCCACGAATTCCTTGAGGTTCACAAACCATACTTTTCTCGCCATGCTAGTGATAAGAAGTGTATGCCAGAATTGCCAGACCTAGTAGATATCTTGTTTGCAGTGTTAAAAAATCTCCACTTCAATTTTATTTATGGAAGGATAACAGATCAGTATCATTCCTTGAAGGTTTAATAGGGTTTTCTCCTCACAAAGAGGAAAAATCCACGAAGTTTTCAAGAATTGACTTTGAGTAGTTTTTCAACTAAAGAATAAAGTATGACAGAAAGTCAGCAATGTCGCGCACCAAGATATGTGGTCTGGTAGTTTCACCGTCAACATGCAAGTCTCAATACTGACTGAGGATGTGAAAAAAAGCTTGCTCCTCGATGAACGATATTTTCCACAGCATGCTCCTTTATCAGTTTGCAAATTACTTTAAAATAGATAGGAGTGGAATTTTTAAGTACTCCATTATTGACGTCAGACAATGGACCACAAAACATTAGCACTATTAAGCATTCAGATGTAAGTTTGCTCATCGAAATTTCATGAAGAACATGATTTGTGAAACAAAAATTTTTGCAAGTAGCTCCTAACCAAGATAATGACATTTTTTCATCCATTTTGATTCGAGCTTCCTGTTCTTGATATCTTGGTTAGGAGCTAATTTCAGTCATTTTTATTGCATGAATCGTGTTCGACATAAACTTTTGAACAGGATAAATATATCAGAGTGCTTCACTTTGTAAAGCTTCTGGTGACTATACATAGCATTACCTGCACATATTACATGTCAATCTCACTGTAACCATGCATGACTCTCAAGTACAAAAAGATGGTAAAAAACCGATAGGAGAACTCCAAAATAGAAGTGAATACAAGTGTTTATTCTCCCAAAAACTTGCACTAATAGAAATACAAAATACAATGAAGAAAGTGTGACATCGCTACCGCTGTTCCAAAGAAGCAAGACACACAAGATCATTGCCATTGTATTTATAATGATGATGGAGATACGGCAAAGAAAATTGTTTTTTGACATCATGAGAGCCTAACACTAAGCTTAGCATCAATATCAATTTTACCTCTAATAAAAAAAAAAAAAAAAAAAAAAAAAAAAAAAAAACTTAATTTAGAACATGAACAATATAAATGGATAAATTCACACACACATTATAAAGATACAGTAACATTCTATGTGAAAATTTCGAAGGGTAGTGGTCTTGATTTATCTGATCAGGATTAAATAATACTTTCTTATTCATGACTAAGGTAGAAATGCAAATTCAAAACATAAAAATGAGAACATAAACAAAATTGAATTGAAGAATTAACTGCTGAAATTAAAAAAGACCAAATCAATACCGATTGCTCGATTCAAAAAGTATATTCCATATGAGAAGCAATTTACTGGTTTTTTTTCACAAACCAAAGAAGTTAAGCTAGATTAAAAAGGAAAGCGAACTTTGAAGAGGAAAGAAAACTTACTTAAAATTGTACGGCTTAAATTAATTATGTATAAGCGTCTTTTCAACGCAATAGTTTCAGTGATGAAATGTAACTTATTTATCGATTTATACTGCAAACGTTCTACAAAGAAAAAGAGAGAACAACCTCTGCACTTTGCACTGAAGTAAACACTTAAATTAGTGTAGCTTAGTACATGCAACATCATGACAGACACAAGATTTCTTTAGAATTGACGCGTTTCAACCGTGCAAAGTACAACTTGTTCAAAAAATGACACCTAACAACAGAGACTTTTTCCGTCAGAGATCTTCAATAACATGCACATGAAAAAATTGGACTACCTATATACGTATAAAAATCCATTTTGACTTTTGGCTTGTCATGCTATGGTTTCTTTTTTGAAACAAGGTACAGTGGCTTTCCATAGTAAATGATTCCAAAATACGGGACAAAAACTTGCGGCTAACAAAAGATACTGGACAAGAACTAAAGAAAGTTGAGACAAAAATAATACAAAATATACTTCTCATGGAAACAGAGGAACTCTTCTGTGAAAACGCATTTACGTAATTTCCTCGGCAAACAAAAATCCATAATCGGACAGGGATAAGATTTGATAGAAATCTATGATGAAGAATTCTTCCTTATACAGTACATAAAATTAGCAAGCTCTAAAAGAGCATATATTTTATGAAACAGAACCTATTATTTCTCTAAATGATTATGAGACTTTGAAATAAACAAATGGGGATAATAGAGTGGTGATGCACTTTACGTGATGCACTTGGAAAGAATTTTTCGAAAAGGTAAATGGAATTAGTTATTCCATTGATACTAAAGCAAAATTTTAACAGAAAGATTTTCTCTGGAAAAACAGAAAGTTACACAGGTTGTGATGAGCGTTTCTCTTCATTTGATAGCAATCATGGAAAGTTTCTGATCAAGTTTTTTTTAGTTTCCACCTCTCAATAAGGAAGGGCAGGAAAGAGAAAATCTACAAGGAGGTATGTTACAGAACTGCACCACTAAACAAAGCACACAGACCAGAGGAGACGGACCATAATTTGACAAACCAGGTTCGGCAACATCTCTTTGAGAGATACTGCCTCAGCACCTACCTATCTTCTAAGAAGGCAAACGACAAAAGTCAAAAGTATTTAGTTTCAAAGAATAACATAAAAGTCACTGGTACAATAAAATAAAAGTCTGAGCCTTCCATTTTAATTTAAATCCCTAGTAGATCTGTCATTAAATGAAACAATGAGCGCTAGACGGAAAACTTCAGCATTGGGAAACCCAACACGCGATTTCTTCAGAAAGAAATGAAAAAATGAAAAAAAAAGGAGCTCTGCGAAAGAGCAGTAAAACATTGTGTTCATAATCTTTAACACTAATACCATTATCCCATGTTGAATATTCTATAAAATTATTGGCAAAAATATTCAAATAGCTCCTACAGAAAATCAACCAATATCATTGGGGCTTAGCTAAATTGTATGGAACCAATGAATAATAGAAATATGTGATTAGAACTAAATTCCTAAATTGAAATACAAGAATAGTGTCCTCACGAGTGAGGAATATTCGAAAAAATCCAGCTGTGGAATAATTTACGATAATACACCGGGTGGAGAAAAAGAAGCATGAATAATACAGAGAACCCTCACAAAAAAAAAAAGAAATATAAAGATCAAACAAAAATTGATGAAAATATTGAAACCAATAATTTCAAAGAAACTAACACAGAACCCTTTTCGTGATTTAGCCCTTGGTCATGATTTTCAGGTACTCAAGAGCATTGCGGGCAGCGGCAATCTGAGCAGCCTTTGAAGTCAAACCGGTTCCGTGGCAGACAGCAACAGGAAGGGTTGCGAGCTGCACCAAGCACTGATATTTACCTGAAGTGATACAAAAACGTTTCTTAAAACCTTACTTTTTAAGCACCTGTGCTTGCTGAAGTTATTTCTTCTGACAGCAATAAAAGCCAATTAGAAGGGTAACAACTGCAAATATCAGATTGATTTAGTGGTCATGTCATTTAATGTGCCACCCTTAAAACATGCTGCAAAAAAATCTACGTCAAAAAATCAATTTGTCCTGGGTGGAACCATCGAATGACATGAGCACTAAATCAGTCTAATGGCACTCTATTATAACTAAAACTTGACTAGGCAAAAATTGGTAACTTCAAACACCTCTAACAGCAATAACTCCAGAATGTGTAAGCAGCAAGGTTGGCAGTTGTTTCAACTTTAAATTCTGATCGCTTGCAAGCAGAAAGTAAATAACTACAGACTTAACTGACGACATCTCTATGGAGCTGAACACTTAAGTAGTTACCTCTTCAGAAGACTTTCATGAAAAAACAGCAAAAATTGCCATCAAGGAACTATTATTTTAAATGAGTACCTTTATCAAAGTAATATGCGTGAAAGACTGCACCAGCTAAATTCCATTATTATTTTATATGACGTATGACATGCTCTAATACCTTCAAAGCACAAAAGTTTTTGATGAAGAACATTCTGCTTGTATAAATTAGTCAATTAATATGCTCCAAATATTCAAGAGTTTTTGATAACAATGTTGAACACGCATTTAACGAGATCTGCTGACTTTGATGTCCTGCTTATTGAGGGACAGTTCTGGTTTGGAGTAATTTTGACACTGAATCTGACTGTGTGATGTGATTGGGTGGAATCTTGAAATCATTTTGGATTCAATTAGGAATATATACTAGTCTATCACTAAAAAAATATCTTGAACACTAGCACATCTTTGAAGGATGCAGGATGTCTACTAAAACAGGCTGACCAAAAATCGGTACTTTTTCAATGCATTACCCAGAAATTAAGTACCTCCTCAACAGAACAATTCAGTACTTTTTCAGTGCCTCCCATTGACGAAATTCGGCAAATTTCAAAACTATGAACTTCCTGCTCAAATTGCAACACAAATTATAAAAAAAAATGAAAAAAATCCGGACCTTCTTGTGGATTTCTGCACTTCTTTAATACTTCCGGACCACTCTTAAAAAATCAGTACATACAATTTCCTGACTTTCCGACTGGTAGACACCCTGTGGATGAGAATCAATTGTCCAGCTACCAGTGGCAAGGTTAAATAATCATTAAATTTCTTACTACTACAGGGGGAAAAGTTTCATTGAATTTCAACATTTCCTGGCTTTTCAGGGTAGTAGAGCGAATTTTTCTTCTTTTTTTTTTTTTTTCCTTTTTCAGGGTGCGAGGATCAGCATTTTGCCTTCCCTGCACATCATGAGCCAAATGCCCTTACAGATCCGACTTTGGCGCCTCAATATTGGGGGACTCGGCCATCGAGGCGCCTAAAACAGTCATCGCATCGAGTTGATTTTTTCCAACTCTCAATTGCAAAGCGGCAGTTGAGTAGCTCTCTCATCTTTTTTGCAAAATTTCATGCGCCATAATGCATATGGAAAAAGTTGATTTGGTTTCTAAAATTTTAGAAAGAAGGCAGGACTCTGCTGAAGGTATTTATTATGTTCTATACTGGACTTTGTGCAGTCATGTCCCTTGAAATATGAAAATTCTGCACTTCAAAATTTGCAGGGGTAAAATTGCTTTCAGGATGATTTGTGCGATCATCAATTATTACTTTAAAGTTGATTTTCGTGTTTTAATTATGAAAGCTTCAAGTGAGTGCTATGAATCGGCACACTAAAAATTAGGTGGTTGAATTAATGAGCTGTTTTTTTCCTGAGAAACAACAGCTGATATTTCAGCTTAATTAGTGCACTCTGTTACGATTTTTTTCATACTTAACAATGATTATAAATTAGTTATTTGCTTACCACTGATAGATTTCTCTTCAATATCCACATAGGTCACTTCAAACTTCTGTTCAACAGCGATTTCTTGAAGAAAAGCGAAGAAGTCCAAGTTGGATTTCACAAGGGATGTATCCTGTAAATGAAATGAAATCTATGATGAAAAACAAGTTGAACTTTTTATCTTGTAAATGATAGAACAAGCCAGAAATTCTCCTGCACAAAGAGAGTTACAAAAGTTGGCTCCTGACTTTGCTAGATTTGTCACGATTAAATGTAAATACTTTCAAACGAAATACAACAGAACCCTTTTTACAGGGCTCTCTGGCGCTCTGCAACACCTTTCTGTCACAGACCCTCACCCACCTTAAGCCCCAATGGGAGCTGATGGAAATACTAATGATTCTTTATGTAACCAATCAATTGTTAAGAATTTAAGGTACTCTGACTTTCTGAAGTCCTTAGATTATCACAAAACTATGTATGTCCCTCAAGAGTAACCTGGGACTGTCAACCTCACAGAACAATTATAAACAAGAATATCCCCAAACGCCGAATATCCTCAAATGCCAAACGATCAAGAGTGCTTACTGTATATCAAAAAGTTTTCATACATCTAATGAAAAAACTATCATACAAGAAGAAAATACAAAATGGGATGAATAATTCTTCAAATCTATCTTGATCACTGGATGGAATTTTTATGACTTGGTGGCATAACTTCATTGATAGAGTCTTTGAACTTAGTTTAAAGACAAATAAAAAGGATAAATGATCAAAAATAACATGGGGGGAAAAAGTTAATTAAAAGTCAATTAATTCTTACCTGGAGTTGCACCAACTTCTCTCCACTTGACAATTTTAGGTTACGATGGAACTTAGAGATCTTGTGGCTGTATTCAGAGTTCAATGTTTTTACTTTACTGTTCTTGATTTCATCAAACTCAGTGACCAAACGGGACAGTCTCTGAATCAGCTGTTGAAAAAGATAAACGAAATTCAAGCACATTTTTGAGAAGTCTTCTGTGGAGATCAACATATCTTTTAAAACCAAAAAGAACAGACTCATCTAAGGTATTCAACGACAAATTCCAGAATAAAAATGTAGCCTGACTATTCGCAATTAGATATTAATAGTTTTCATCGGTCATGTTAAGAAATGCCACAATTTAGCGTGTAAAAATCGTGTCGGATAAGGTACTACTGGATTGGTGTTTTCAAACAAGCAGAACCAATAGCTTTTGATGCAAAATTCATATAGCTTGAATGTTTTTGCTTGTCTGAGAGATATTAAAGCCAGGGCTGCCACAGAATTTGGAAAACGAAATTCCCTGACATTTCCCCGACTCATTTTGGTGGAATTCCCTGATGATTGAGAATATGCCGAATGGACAGTAAGACATTGTTAGGAATAGTTTTTAGACGAACTATGTTGTTTGAAATGTCAAACCTATTCTTGACAGCGAGTAAAGGTGACCCAACAATTTTGCCTGGCATTTTCGTTACTTTCCCTGACATTTCCAGACTATCCCTGACTTTTTAGAATCCCCTGACATTTCCCAGTATTCCCTGACTTTGGCAACACTGTAAACCTCTCACTCTTAGTAAGATCTTTCATGGCTCAGTGGAGTGCATACATTATAAAACACACAATTTTACATAAGTTTGTCGAGGGACCAGCTTGGCATCTCGTTAGTAATGATCAATAAGCTCATAAATGCAAGCAACACTGTCGGTTAATAAGACACTCTTGCCAAACAAGAGCTAACATGGATGTATGTCATACCTCATCATCATCGTCCAGGCCAGATGGTAACTCAGATGTTTCCATCGGGAGATCCTTCATTTTGTGCCACATCTTTGAGGCTGCTTCACGTTTGGCAAGTTTCTTGGATTTTCCAACACCTGAAATGATGCATGAAAGTGGAGATAGAGTGATTTTTCATTATAGAAATTGAAAAGCGAATAAGACTTTATATCTTAACAACTTGTGCACATATTCCACGGATCTATATTTATGAAATGCTGTGATTTTGCGCCAAGAAAAACAAGGGGAAAAAAAGCAATTTTCGTTCTGAAACAAATCCGCCTTCCCAATTTCACAACCCAGACAATTAGCTGCTCTAGTGGTCAATAAGTTTATTTGCTCTTGATCTTTCATATTATAAAAAGAGTCAACCCATAGTTCCAACCACCAAGGTTCGATATGAACAACATAATATAAGAGTGCCGTACTTTAGTTCTGACCAAGTTATCAGAATTTTCAGCAGAAAATGTTCCACTTTCCTAATTTTTTACAGGTACTTTCTCATGGACGATACTCTCCAGAAATATATAGACACACCAAGTAATTGTCAATTGCTAAAATTGAATTGCGGGACCATCACATACCTTCCCAAAGCAGAATTTTATAGAATGTAAACATAAATGGTGGAGGCATAAGCGTCAGTTAATAGTACACGTCATCACAGAATCAGGTGGTGAAATTTTAACCAATTAAAAATGGAATGGGATAATTCAACCGAAATGACCCTTTTATGACTAAAATTTGGTGAAAAGAAAAATAGAAAAACTTGTGGTTCCTTGCTCAAGGTGACAAGTTTTCTTGAATTTCTAAATTCCCAAATATTTCGAAATTATTAAAAAATTGAAAAATCTCGACTCAGCGCTGACTTTTCATGGAAATTATACACAGGAATGTTTGTTCCAATCAAAGCTTATGAAACATGATAAGTAAAGCAAATAATTTCATCAGTTGAAGAAAAAAAAGGGTTAACGCATCGCCTCGTTTGACGAGTCAACGCGCGCGCGGGACATATCTCAGTTGACAAGTTGATTCGCAGCATCTATCGGCGTTGCTAAGCGATTTTTTTGGCAGTGTTTTTTCACTTTTCCGATAGATGGCATCTCAAGCGTCGAAATGGCGAAAAAGGCGCGGATTAACTCGTCAGCTGAGATAATGTCCTAGGCGCCCGCTGACGAGTAAACTCGTCATGTGAGGCGAATGGGTTAAAATCTAATTTTCTGACTTGAAAAGAACTTGTCATCTTGTCTGTTTATCAAGAACTTTCCACAAATACTTAAGTTGAGAAAAAAAGAGTAGCAGCTTGATTTTACCTTGAGTTACCCTCAGTAATCTCAGGAATGGATGTTCTCAACATTTTTAACTAGATGTAGTGACTCATAGAAATGTGGTTTGAAATAAATATACATAACTGCTACTTCAATCAAGTGGTAGCAACGTACCTGTTTCTTTTTGTTTGAAGATGGTGCAAACAACTGTGAATAATCTTTCATGTGGTAATCCCTCCTCGGTCTCAGTGGTGTAGGTTGGGGGTGGCCATCTACGAGCCATGCAAAGTTCTTGGAGCTGACCAATTGGGTTTGGATTGAGATCTGGATTTCTGGCATCACCAGGCATGGGCGTAGGAATGGGCGTTTTGATCAGGCCTTCAGTGTTACCGACTAACTTTTCAAGCAGAGTCCGAGCGGCGACATGCTTGGCTTCCTTTTTGGAACGCCCTGTGCCCATGGATACAATGTTCCCGACAGTAACCCTGTATCTGAACGTTGGTTCATGGATAGCTCCTTCAATCTGGACAAGCTCATACTTCGGCTGGGTCCCACGGCGGGTCAATACTTCTTGCAAGATTGAGACGGGGGTCTTCGATGGGTGAATCATGAGCTCCTGTGAGAGAAAAGAAAAATAAACTGGTGACAAATCTGAAGGAAAAGCTGAAATATGGTACAAACTTTCTTGCTCTCCAAAAAAGCAATATTGCTTAGTTTGCCAAAAGATATTATCTAAATCTGAGTTTAAAAAAAAAGGGGGTCATGTAAATAGAGGATATGTTGCACAAAACTTGTTTTTTTTTCTTTTCTAATCAAATTACAATGATGTCTTAATTGAGGCTTTGGGCCAAAGGATGGCTACATAGCTTTAAAATTGGAATTTTCTGACTTCCCTGAGTTCTTTCTGATCAATAACTTAAAATATTTTCAACTTGAAGAGCGTTTGAGATGAGAAAATATAATTTTAATGACAGGACTATGCATGGAATACTAAAAAATTTGGTGCTGCCTGAATTTCTGTACTACTCGATATAACGTACCTTACAACCTCCTATTCAGCCCGCCTCCAAAAAGCTTAGAGTTAACAGGATTTTATGAGATCAGAACCCAATGCCGGAGAGACTCAAATTAAGAGACTATCCATGCTTTTCAACATGTGAATTTAAGGACAGTTGGACTTGGATTTTCATACTTACTTTTTTAGATTTTCTTAGATTTTCATTTAGATTTTCTCTTTGGACTTAGATTTTTATACATATTCTCAAGAGACACTAGTACCTAGGTACTTAAGGAAATTTGGTAAAAAAAAAGAAAAGGAAAAAAAAAACAAACAAACAAACAAATTGAGGAAAAGAAAAAATAAAGGACGATTAAGGAAATGAAGGTAAGGGTCATATCAAATAAAGAGGATGTTTAGATGCTCTCTTTGCTAAACAGCCAGTTTCTCTTTGATTCCACCTTCATTTAACTGAGCTACAGAGCCTTTTTGGTGTTGCCATTTTTCTTCTTTTTCTTTTTTTTAACAACAATATACGGACGACTCTCAGGACTAATCCTGTGCCTTAAGTCCCCCCCGTCTATTTAAACCCAGCCCCTGTTGAAAATTGCTTTGCCGACCAGGAAAGCAAAATATCCTTTACATAAAGCTAAAGTTTAGCTAACAAGAAAAGAAACACAAGGACAACTAGAGACATCCTTTGGCGATATTGAGAGATTTTCAACATTTTTTCATATGCCCTTTCAAACGGCATCTGAATAAATTCACAGTTTCACTCACCTTCTTGGCTGCTTCTTCTAGATTTAGAGGCTCTTGAGGCTTCTCCTTCTTGTGCCTAGTGAACCGCTTTGGACCGGTTTTGTTTCCGTCAATCTGACAAAAGCAAAAGTGGATTAACATAAAAAAGAGAAGAGATTAATTGAGGGTACAACAACAGATCAGTATCGTCATTAATTTCTTTAAGGCCCAGCAATTTGAAATTTTCTGTGATGAAAGATACTCGGTTTTTCCTTCAACTTTGGTGAAACTGGTTACATAATTAGCCTTTTGAAATTGAATTTTTTTAACTATGAAAGTGAAACAAATCATGATGTGAAACTGACTTAGCGCTAAGAACACAAATTTCTTTCACTTCTTCTTTTCCCACAGACAATAAAAAATGTAAACGAGATAACAAATTATACAAGATTACATTAGATAATCCTGAATATAAATTACTCAACCATCTCATAACACAGTTAGAAGTATACCTTGTTAGCAGTTTCATCGACTTCCATCGGAGCTTCCGGATTTGTATCATTCATCGTAGTAACTTCTCCATCGCGCATCAGTTTCTTTGAGACAGCCTCTTTGTTGCGAGAGCCTTTCGGGTTTTGGGGGGATTTTGCTGCATCAATAGTCTGATCCTTTAAAAACAGGAGAAAAAATAACATCAGTATAAATAAATGATAGAGGTGGTGAATTAGTTTAAAGACAAATGTTACCTTTAACTAATTTCATTAATGCATTTGCAGAGATCGCCCATCCTTTTCTTTAGGGGACGTTCAACTCAAATAATGGCTTGAGGATCCACTGAGGATGGGGACAGACAGTCTCTGAAATGCGTTTGGCAACATAAATTGAAAAGACTTAAGTTTTCAAAAAATACCCTGCAATAATTTAGTTACTTCTCATTATTTCAAACCTTCATTTCAAAGAATAACTTTTCCTCCCGACTGCAACAATGAGCCATAATTGAGAATCGAAAAGTTCAGATACAGTAACTACTTGAAATTACTTCAACCACAGCTTCGTTTCCATTATCTATTGATAAGTATCTGCTGTATCATCAGTTTATCAGTAAGCTTAATAAACCTTAGGGTGATGGTGACATTGATAAAATGTGATGTTTCGTAGATCTTGATAGTAACGCTGGTGGAGAGGAATACTTGCTTTACTTTTAAAGTCTTAAAAATCAAGAGCTACATTCAGAAGAATGTAGATATGGACACATACATTTCCAGTACTTACAATTCAGCCTTACTCTTTCAGTGCCTATCTAACTGAAAATTACACCAAACAGAACAAATGAGCATTGAAAAGTATTTTCCCTGGTACTTTTTAGTATTAGTCAGTTTACCTTCTCATGAAGGAGCTGCTTATGGTATAAGTTTTGTACCCACAGCAGGAGGGAAGTAAATGAAGAATTAACTCTGTTCCTTGCTGATAGTAGTGTATTGAAAAAAGGTCCATTGCCAACTATGATCATAGAAGAATAACAGATAACGGCTGGAGTCAGGCTGCCACTTAATTTGTTATTAATTTTGTTGTGTTTTTCGCAGCTGAATATGAGCTGGTAACAGCTCGAAACATCGTGCCTTTTAATGTTTTAACCTTGTTTATCCATGTTATAATTCCCTCCTTATTTAGTCGTAGAAGAACTATTTGGCTAGAAATCAATCAATTCCTATCTTAGACAACTAGATAAGAAACCTACTCCAAGGACGAAGAATAGCAGCCATGATTTAAACCCTATAAGCTCCAAGACGCCTCTTTCTCAAAGCTTACACTGCAAAGCAATGAACATAAGAATACCAGTAAAGAGCCTTTCCTGATTTTTTTCTTACAAACTAATAACAAGAGGTAGTTCTAGTGGTTGTAGCCTATGATTTCAACCCGTTGCTACATTGGTACCTTTCTTCTGGAGGAGAGGATTGTAAGAGACTGTTGGATCGTGCTCATTATCTTTATTTTGTAAGTGGTATGCCTGTATCCTCCTTATCCCATAAGGCTCAGAAGCCGTCTAATAAGCTACTGTCAGGTTGTATCAACAACTGGGACAGACGCTGCTGATGCCAGGCACACGCAGAATTTTCTTCGAGCATGGCCGTGCCCTCACAGAGTTGAACTTGTTCATTCAACTGCCCACTAACAGGCTGTCAACACTACCAGTCATGTAGTGACTGGTTAGGAGCAAAAAAGTAGGGAGAGACTCTTCACTCTCTCACAGCTAGAGCTAGAAGCTCCGATTTCGTGAGTTTGAATGATAATTAGGATTTGATGAGAGTAAATCAGAAAAAAATGAGAAATAGAACTTTGAACAGCATGGCATTGAAACTGAGGAGAAAAAAATTCATACAAGTGCTCAATTTCAACTCTCAAAACTTAATTAGATACAGCCGCTGCTTCACCAATTTACTACTGATAAACCTATTTAATCCTAAAGAGAGCTGCTCAGAAATTTTCAAAATTGGGGGTAAAAGGCTACTCCGATTCTTCAGAAACTGTGATCGCGAAGTAGAATCTAGTTTGATGGCAGAGATGTACAACAGCTTAAGGGTACAAATGCACCTCCACATGAAGCAAAACAGACATGTGCATGTATACTGAAGGGTTGCTCATATCTTGTGTGCATGCCTTACACCCTATCATCAGGTATTTTTTGCTGATCTATCCATTTTATTGTGCTGTATGCAATCTGCGTTGCTTAGATACATGAAAATCAAGCAAGCCATGAGCACCGTCTCAATGGTAGCGTCTCTGTCTGAAGCCCACTTGTGTAGGGAATCGTGAGTACAAAAGAAAGGAAAGGAAACTAAATAGGAATGTGCCATTATCCATGAGCTCAATGGTTGAAATTCTCGCAAAAATTTAAAAAGGCTCTGGGTTTCCTGTTCGAACGGTGCGCAAATGAAGTCATTGTCCATGAGGGACGTGCAAGATTACAAATAGTGAAACATGGATGGTAAGAGGATGATTCTGGAGGAAAGGCTCAAATGAAAGATTTCTCTTTCGACCAGAACACAGAATAAAGGCAACTCAGTTTCAGGGAATGAATTGCAAAAGTAAAGCAGACAGCGGTAGGTTGTAAAGAAAAAAGGAGTGGGAAGAAACCATGAGGTACTTTCAGGCAAGGGCTGTGGACTGATGAAGTGGATGGAAAGTAAGAAAACAAGTATGAAAGAGATGTTCAAGCGAGCAAAAAATCAGCGAGGAAACAGAAAATTATTCCAATACTTACGCCTTCAACCATGTTAAAAGCTGTTAATTGAGTTTGGAGGGCTGCAATGACTGCTACTATCTGTCAGTCAAAAAGCTGGAAACGTACGGGTCCTCAGGGAAATTGCAAATCTGCTTTCCACTGATGGTGATCAGACGCTGCGAGAATCACAAAATTGGAGACGTGTGAGTTGGATTTCACTGAAAACCCACAAAAAATTCGTCGAAAATTTTCCTCAAGTGCCGGCGAGTTGGAAGGAAAAATGGTGGAACGCAAACGAAGTACGATATATACGATAATGGGAAAGAGGAGAGTGGCGGCTATGGAGTGGCGGTGGCGGTGGCGGTGGCGGCTTGGTAGTGGTGGTGGCTGGTGTCACAAACACACACGAACTAACACACACTTGCACTTCTCACTGTAATCTTATCAGTTATCTCAAAATACTTCGAAAAGTAGAAAATAAATGCTCCTACAGAAGATAATGATTTTTCCTGATGCTGGAATACAAAATTGAAAAACCAATGGGAAATAAGAGTAATGAAAAATAAAGCAAGTGCGACTTTTAAATTTTTTAAAATCTGGCAACTCAGCTACCTACAACAACAAACATCAACAATTACTTAACCTCGAAAGCTCGGAAAAACTTTCAAAGCTCGGTTGGTTTTTAAAATATTTTGTTTATTCCTCGATAGCAAATTTTCTTTCCACCTTCGCACGATTTTTTTCGGTGACTCTGTTTGCCACTAGGATTCTTTCCATAATATAGACCGTGTCAAAACTCTTCCTAGTTTCATTGTCTTCCCGTCCTACCTCCTGGCCACTTGGTAGTTCTTTCGCTCTTTGTGGTTGGATTGAACAATTTGCACCCATCAAGTTTTATATCAAGGTAGGAATAAGCACGAACACACGTCTAATTCTGTCTATTTTGTTTCGTTTCAGTCGACTTATTTGCCTGGGCTATTCAGCCTTCTCATTTTTCTTCGGTTACATTAGGTGACACATCCTCGTCAGGCTATTAGTCATCAAAGGAAATACCCTTCCTGCTATTCATCAACTTTACTATTAGTACACCAAAGCCATTTCGTCAATTTAACTTGCAAACCCTTGTCACTGTTGAGGACCTAGCAAATTTTTACAAGGTCATACAAACACATTGAGTATCTAGCACAGTTCATATCCACGCCCATTGCTCATGTATATGGGTTTTAAGATCGTTAATTTCATGCACCGCTTCATCAATATGTATGCCTGTTAACACTAATTTCCCACTTCTGTGATAATGATGGAATCAAAATTCTGAATAATTATTGTATGAATTGAACTGAGCAATAGTTGCGCAATAATTAATGCAAAAAAATCTCCATTTTTTAAAGTGTTTACTTTTAGCCAAATAGAGCGTAGCCGTTCAGCTTCACTAATATCAAAGCGTTTCCCTGCGTACTGTCAGTAAAATATGTTACTTATAAAATTGTGAGTCAGAATTTCAATCGCATTTTTACTGGACCTTTTTAAAGGAACCTACTTAACGATCTCAACAAGATATAAACGCTTGTTTTCTTTTTTTTGCCAGGTTTCTCTAGTAGCCACAGCAAAATGCCTTTAGAATGGCTGTTTGGTCGTCGTATGACACCAGAAGAAATGTTGAGGAAAAATCAACGGGCTTTGAACAAGGCAATGCGTGATCTAGACAGAGAAAAAGCTCATATGGAACAGCAAGAAAAGAAAATCATAATGGACATCAAAAAAATGGCCAAAGAAGGCCAAATGGTGAGTATGTCACTAATATTTGAACAGAGAAAGCGAAGAAACATACATCTGAAGAATAAATAAAAAAATAAATATAGTAGGTTAGAAAGTAAATTACCAAAGCATAAAATTCTGCGATTTTAATAAACTTTGAAATTCCTTAACCTATTAATTATCATACATAGGTTTCAATAGGTTACTGCCCATCATCTTCAAAGAGTTAATTGGGAACAAGAAAGTGGATGGTATAAAATTTCTGGAAAAAAATGAGAAAATCTCTGTAATAGAAGGTAAACATGTAGTTCCTTTGATAAAAATACAGCAATTGATTTGCGAGCCGCCATTTGCTGGTCAAAGATGTCAAAGCATATGTCCGATAATCAGTAAATTAAGAAATTAAAAAGGTTTTAAAAGTCACGTGATTCTGTACCTACCTGAGTTATTTCAATACTCCCATGTTTACAAATCAATGCTTCGTCTTCATAGTTCGTCAATTCATCCAAATCTTGCCCAAATGCAATATTAAGTCATCTTCAATTCAGCTTTTTTACGCAAGTAGGTCAGTTTTCGTTGGTTGATAATAATCCAACGCATGTGCCGAAACATGTAGATCAAACTAAATTCATCTATTGTTATGGTCAGCACTTAAAATTGTATCATAGTTTAAACAAAGTAATTTGATCATTTCATTTTGTTCAATTAAACTATAAGTGAAATTGTGAATGATTTACGTTGAAGAATGTATTCCTTAATGTTGTATTTTCACATGCCAGTTTCTTTTAAATTGTTGACCAGTGATATTTCAATTATGGTACTCATGTCACTTTGACTCTAGTTAATTACTTAGTATGCCATTTACAAATTCATATTGTGCAAAAACATCTAGTTCCTTATTGAAGAATTTAGGTCTGTACACTTCATTTAAGTATTTTTCATCTGTTCTCATCTTCTCAGCGACCATATAGTATAAAGTGACCTCTCCATTGCTTGAATTCATAATTTCCTATACTTGAAGAGTCCCCATGACACCTACCAAAAATTTCTTAACATTAATTTTTGTTTGTAATTTTGCTCAGGAATCTGTAAAAATTATGGCGAAAGATTTAGTAAGAACGCGTCGTTATGCAAAGAAATTCATGCTAATGAAGGCTAACATCCAGGCTGTTTCCTTGAAAGTTCAAACTTTAAGATCACAAAATGCCATGGCAGATGCCATGAGAGGAGTCACCAAAGCTATGCAGAGTATGAACAGGTAAGTGCATTGAAGTAATCTGCAATAGTTGGAGGTGAAATAACATTGATGTAGTCGCACTTGGCTGTTTCTGAAATGACATAGGAAAGCAGACAATGTGTTCACTTACTTTTAGCTGAGCCTACTGAAAGAGCCCTAACAGCGATCATTTGCCCTCTAGATGGCCAAATGAAATTTGGTACAAGTAAGTTAATTTGATCAGATGTGAGTGCTGCCCACGTGCCCACATCATTGAAGCTAATTCTTCATTTGAACGATCCAGCAAAACCTACTACAAACCAGTGAATTCCCCTAAAAGAAACTAACTTGCTTTCCAGGGTGGATGCGCAGGCGTCTAAAAATCTGCCTAGCCACAGTGAAATATGTACATCTTGCAAGGTAATGCGCATTAAATAACCTGCGCAAAGCACTGGTTTTCGGTAATATTTATTCAGTTGTCTAAAGTTACTCATCTGCCTGGAATAATAGCCTTTTCCTCATAATTTTCATTTAGTTGAATATTCCCTCAAACTGTGCACCATCATTCACTGCCACAGTTTTTATCTCTTCTCCTAAGAAAACCATAAACTTCAATCGTAACATCTTTTTTCGATCAATGAACACCACTCATTTATCTTGATATTGCTTCTTATATGTACCTCCTCTTGTTCTTAGGCAAATGAATCTGCCACAGATTCAAAGAATTTTACAAGAATTTGAAAAACAATCTGAGATCATGGACATGAAGGAAGAAGTCATGAATGATGCAATGGACGATGCGATGGGAGACGAAGACGATGAAGAGGAAACGTAAGTACCTGTCATAGTAGATAGTATTTATCTTTATTATCAATCAGAACCCAAACTTTTTGACAGTAATGCTCTCTTTTTCAAATAAAGGGGAAAAAAATAAAGTAGACGAATCCCTTGCACATTAGAAATTATTTTCAAAACTTTTTTTTATTTTGGACGGGTTTTGAGCATGTGGCTCATCTTCAGCGCTTCAGTGATTACGGCTACTCTCTTTTTCAAGCAGACCCCNGAGAGAAAAACTTTTTCAAAATAATCAATGAATTGTTGCCTTTTTTTATGTCCACTCTCTGCTATTATTAACTTCTCCGACACATTACATAGTTCATCCCCCCCTACCCATTACTCCTTTTCACAATTTTGTCTCTCTTATTTAATTTTAAGTCAATTTATTACACATCATTTACAATATATTCACTTCATAAAAAAAGAAACTCCCCAAAATTTGATGCAAGATTTCTATCATTCACAAAAATGACTGATCATTCATTTTTTTCTATTCACAGCGACACTATTGTATCTCAAGTTTTGGATGAACTTGGACTACAGTTGACTGATACCCTGTCCGGATTACCTCAGGCATCAGGTTCCATTGCAGCTGGGGCCAAAACACCTGTGGCAGCACCTGCTGGCAATGATGCTGACGCTGATCTGCAAGCTCGACTCGACAATCTTCGCCGAGAATAAAATCATGAGGGTTCCGTCCACATCCTCCAAAAAAGTCCATCAATGGAACCATCCCTGATAACAATGGGAAGAAAACTAGCGCCAACAAAACTGCTTCAAAGTAGCAAAAATGTTCAGCTTTTTATCTTTGCAACTGTAAATAATTCGGCATAGTTAACTTCTTTTGGCAATTTGCTTCCTATGATTTAAGGTCGTAAATAGGTACATGAAAATTTGAATTTATTTTATTTTTTGATTCAGTAAGCAGAGATGTATTCTGAATATATCTTTGAAAAAAACAAGTGGCTGTGCTGAAGGAATATTAGATCATGGCTGAACCAATCTGTAACATCGATTTGAAACTAAACTCATTGTAAAAATTTTTTTCTAATGTTTTTGGAAAGAAGCATTTGGATCAATTGAATACATACATTTTCCCCCTGTAAAACCAAAACTTTTGAAGTCTAAGCTAGTGAATCAATCATTCATGAATATTTTCGCAGTATTGGTGTTTCTTGATTTTCTCTTATCTAATTCCTAAGCTCTGGTTTGGCTCAAAGTATTTGTACCCTCATTGGAATTTCATTTCATAACAGTTGGCAATGCCCACTTGTCCAGCTCAAGGACATTAAAGGCCAATTAAAAACATTCACACTCTAAAGCTAGGAATTACTAAAACAAGATAAATATTGTGAGCTCACTGCCAACCCTGGTCTAAATTAACCAATTTTTGTCTAATTAAACTTAGTATCAGTGTGCAGCTACATCAGAGAGCTGAAATGGTACTCTATGGTTGAAATGTACACAGACTTAGGCTTGGACCTCAGCCTCATGTATGTTCAAAAAGGTTTCTTGTCTCATTTTACTATGAAAACCCTTTGTTGGCTATTAACTAGATTATGTTGTCTGATTATCTTCATAATCATACTCGAGCGATCAAGCAATGAGTTTAGGAAGGGAAATCTAAGCTCTCTGAAATATTAGTTCATTTTTAAATATTTCAAAATTAATTTCGTCATGATAACAGTAATATCTTGTGCAAAATGGCGTTTTTCTCATCTTCAGTCTTTTCAAAGCGACCAATGCTGTTGCAAAGACTAATGATTTTCCTTTCCTCTTGTATTATTTCTAATCCAGCAAGAAAAGTCGATTCATGGTATCAATTAATTCATTTTTTTCTTTACCATTTACATTTCCTGCCTGCAAATCAAACACGAGATTAAAGCTCCTTAGACACTTGTCAAAGTAATTTAGTAAAAATCAACTGTTCTTCAGTTACCTTTTTGTCATTGGAAGTATTAAAATAGAGGAGTGTGGATTATTGAGTTTTGTGATTTCATTTTGATTAGGCTACTCGAGATTGGTAAACGCAAAATTTTCTCTGTAGCCTCATGCATTCAAAATGTCAATTATTCAAGGTACTTAAACTGTGAACTGGCTTGAAAATTCTTTGGTACAATGAAATAAGATAACAAGATGGGTCGATCAAAATTTTAACATCTTGTCCTTTTGTGTTACCAATAGTGAGCCTTACTATCCATGCAATCATGAATTTCCCCATGATCTCCCTACCCTCCCATGGATATGTGCTAATAAGATATTCAATGCCAAAATAAAATTATTTTAATTTTACTTGGTTTTCAATACACCCCTTTCAGGAAGCTGAATTACTTTTCTCTTGGGTTTCTCCTTAGTTTCAGTATACTTCATTCATTTTATTTTCAATCATTTCTATCTTCTGTTCCATTAGTTTTTATTTTCATCTTTTCCAATTTAATTAACAGGCTCCGCATCTGCACATTTATTGTTGAAAAACTTACTGTAATTTTTATTTGTATTAATTGAATTATTTTATTATTAAAGAGCTAATTTTTATATTGTTAATTACAGCTGTTTAATTATTTTTTACAATCTTTCCTTGTATTGTTTATAAATTGATCAGAAACAAAAATTTTGCGATGAAATGTCCGAGTTGTAGCATCTTTCTGATAATGAAATTTTACAATTATCCAAGAAAGAAGCAAAATTGGCCACTGAACAAGGTCTGACCTAGAAACAAACGTCACATGATCTCTTTTCAAAATTTTACACAGAAAGCGATTTACATGATAGGAAGTTTGGGAATCAACTCCTGAACGAGATAATGACAGGTCTTTTAATCACAGATCAATTAGAGGTTCGATTTCACCAATGACGTCATTTTTATTTTTACCTTTTAACCAATGTCAATTGTAAACATTTCAACTCGTGTAATAGTTGATTTCCGAACTACCTGTTGTGTGTTTTGGTTTCCTCGTAAAATTTTGATGAGAAAATAAGTCGCATTCTGTTTTAATTCTAAACCCGTCTATTAACCCAGCAGAATTTGATTTTTTTTTTTTTTTTAGACGTTGAAAAAGATGTGATATAGTTCATTCGATAATGGCATTAATTGTTAAATTTTTTCAACAGGAGTGTTAGAGGAAAGAATTCTTTTTGATGGTTAAAAGAACTGTCTGTGTTAATCGCAAGAGTTCTCATCATGACTGCCAGATCTCAATGCTGATTAAAAAGGCAACTCCATACATTAAAAGTGTCAGCCCTGCTCTTTGGCGGAAAGGTATCTTAATGTCCTTTCTTGCAAGAAAGCAGCAGATCAGCATTAGAGATTTAAAATTTGGGCTTATATTCACTTCTTATTGTATTTACCTACCATTTCTCATTTAAACTCTTGAAGTCTCCTTTTCACTATTAATTTGTTAGTATCAGAAAAAAATGAACAAATCTGTTAGTAATTCAACAATCATATATTGAATATTTTTTTATAAAATTAACCTGAGGTGACACTTTTTTGCATTTCGATTCCTTATTTATTTACAATATCTACAGAGAGGCCTTTGAGAAATTCTTTCACTATCTGTTCCTCAATTGAAATCGTCCCTCTGAAAAAGAAGAAAACAAATAATTAGTTAAAAATATTGCCAGTTGAGATTTAAATAGCACATCGGTGGCTGAAGTCAAAAAATGCATAGCTCCGATTAGGATGCTGTCAGTCATTGCTCGTGTTCTTTTTGTTTTTTTTAAGGAAGAACTAATCAACAGTTTCTAATGACATTTTTTTGTGAGTTATCTTCTTTTATTCTAAAAAAAATCACACAAAATTACAAGGAAGCATTTTGATTAGTTTTCCTTAAGGAATGAGACATAATCAGAAATTGATTAACACTGAACTTTTGATTTGCATTTTTCGCATTTAGCAATCAGTATTTAACTTCAAAGACTAGAGACATTAAAATTGTGAGACTAAAATTCAAGATAATCAACTTAATAGATGTTGTTTAACATTGCAAGAAATGACGTTACTGGAACATGGTACGAATGATTGGGGTTTTCACTTGGAAATACAGCAAGCTAAATCTACAGCTGCAAGAGCTTCGGCTTCGTATTTTATAGTTTCATGCAGGCACTTTGCCATTAAAGATAGCTCATAATGCACTTCCTTCCGTAAAGTTTAGGTGAGAAAATTACAAATAGAGCTAGAATGAAAAAAAAAATAACTTTAAAAAAAATTGGCTCCGTCTTTCAAGGTTGTGCACGCAAGTTCCGTTCTTCATATCAGTGCCTTACGTACTACATACATTCCTGTTGATTCTTTTTGCCAATATTTTATAAAAGAGGTGAAGTAAGATAAACTGATAAGAAAATTTGACTTACCTCATCATTATACTCCAAAACATGTTGCCGAATTTTGGATGAATCAACCCACGTTACAAAATCTTCCAAGTTCCTATTACAAAAACAATAAAAATGATCAGCACACATGGACTAAAATGAAAAGAGAAAAAAACGAAGATAAAAAACTTATAATAATTCAAACAGAAGATTTGAAAAAAGCTTGGCAGTTTTTAGAGTTCTATGAACATTGGTTGTGAGTGCAAGCAAAAATAGCTTGCAAGGTGCTTCCATTTAGTGCTTGAGGGCTTGGAGAGTTTCAAAACTTTGTTGGATCATTCCATAATACACTTTTTAAAAAGTACAGGAAAGTTTATTTAAAAATTACACAGCTTACTTCCTAGGAATACAAAAAGGAGAAAAGTTCAGAGAAAATACATATTCATGATGTTTCATCGCTTCAGAAACCTTGGATTGAATAAAAATTATCAGCAAGCTTGACTCATTTGAAAACATCAGTTAGAGATTACCCTTACCTGGTGACTAGAAATGCAGGGTCTTTGACAATTTCTGTTCCTACACGAACATGTCCTTGCTCAATGAATTGGGTTGCACTTGTCAAGTTTTCTGCCATCTTGTTTCTTGCCATTACCACAGGTAATCTCCGTCGGCAAAACGAACTTGCTGTTACTTCATCACAGAGTGAAAGATCCTTTTTACTCGGTATTAAACCTATGACGTACCTGAACACAGAAATATTTCATCTACAGAAAACTTGAAAAATTTGCAGTCAGCAACACTCAGAGAAACGGAGGTAAAATAAATAAGGTATCAGGATTACTATCAGTAAACAGAGGAGGTAACTAAGCATTTCTCACTGGATGGTAAAAAAAAGACTTGCTCGAAATGCAAACTGAGTATATGTACAAGGCATGCTCCGAGAGTAAGTTCCATAATTTATTTTTGATCGATATACAGTTCGACATCATTGATGATAAGTGAGTAGAGTAAAAAGCCAGATGTAGGTATTCCATACTCACAGCTTTTTGATGAGTGGAGAAAGTTAAAAATTAGCCCACTAGGTTGCTGAGAAAGTTTATTTAACAGGACTGACCGCCTCGATACGGAAATACAAAAATGAAAACTCCTAGATTGGCATTTATTCGGGGAGCGGGAAAAAAGAAATAAATTTATGACAGTAACTCCTTACAATTTTTCAAGGAACTGAGCTGAAGACTGAATTCTAAAGGGGTCTTTGGGATCCAATTCCTTAATTTTCCTGACGATAGTTCTGATTTCACGAGAAAGCTTGTTGTACCTGAAAAAAAACAAAAGAACTTATTATCATCGGCAACTTGCAACTTCTTGGTTTTTCGGTGAATATTACAGACCATTTTAAGGTCAAGTAAACTGTTGATGAAAATTTTTGTTTGTTTTCTGAGAGAACAATAAAATCATGAGTGGATTTGTGACATGGCGATGCTTGATCAGCGGGCCGATTATTGAAATTTAAACCAGCCCGATAAGACATCGAATTGCGATATATTGCATGGTTAAGATAGGGCTTTGTCTTGTCGTGTCGGGCTGACATAGTTTCAATAATCAGGCCGCTGAGTGCTTTGACTTTAGTGTCTAGTGGGTCTTTCACCTCTGAATCCGATGTTAATACGGAGCTCACAATCAATTTACAATAATTTTGCACACTTGAGAAGACATAATAGATTCCCTGTGAAAGTAACTAGATGCACCGATCAGGGAGGACGGATTCGAAATGAACTGACTGCAGCCCATTCTATACTATGTCACAGTTCAGTTCAGCGGTATCCATATTTTAATTTCAATTTGCATAATTTTTTTAAATACATCTTATCAAAAACTCATTACTTGACTATAGGGACTAATAAACTTAATCACAATGCCAGAAAAATGGTCATCAAACGTAAAAGCTTAGGAAACCTTACCAAAGTTCGTGGATTCATCTGGTGCCAGAGAAGAAGATGCAATTCTTAAAATTCCTAAAAATCTAAATTCATCAGTCTCAAAGTTCTTGAACTATTTTACAATTTTTTTTCACATGAATTCCGATGGGAGCCATTTTAATGGACGAACAGTTACATCTAATCTTGTCGCACAAAATCAGGTTACTGAACCGTCACATGCTTAGGGTAAGATAGACAAAACTTCGTTGAGTACTTACTTTGTATAGTCGTCCCGCTTTTGAACACGATAGCGTCTGAGTATTTTGACTTCGTGAAGGTTGTTATCAACTTTCCAATTAATAAAGTCAACTTTCTTCAAAAGTTTCTGTTCATGATACTTCAACTTGCGCACCATCTTGATTGAAATTCACTGATAAATCACAAATGAAAGATAAAACGGTTGAACAGGAAAGAGATCAAGTTTAAATTACAACGATTAATGGCTCGAACATTATGAAGCTCTAAAGTAATAAAGAATTATTCTAAAAACTCAAATTCACATGTCAATTGTCAATTTTCACACATTGTTTTTTAGAGGTTAGGGGGAAACAAAACAACGAACTTCACCAACCTCTAGAATGGCCATTGACCAAGATGATAAAGACCCGAGACGTTTTGAAGTTGATATAGGTTAGGTTTACTTGGACTTGCACTTGGGCTGGGCCGGGGCTCACTCTGTGACGGATTGAGTCGTCAAAATTTTGGGCTTGGACCGTAAATTTTCATGTTTGTCGAAAAATGCTCGTGAAAAATGATTGTGGCTGTTCAATAAGTAATGTTCTTTACGTATTTGTTGATTTGTTGTGATTTTTCACTTGAAATTGTGTAAAATAATGTCCTTTTGTAGTGCGATAAACTGCACAAGCAGCAGCAAGAAGAAGGAGCCTGGAGTTTCATTTCATGCGTAAGTCGGAGCAAATGATACTTTGGATTTTTAGAATTTTTACTAAGGTGGCATAAATCTGTGGGTAATGTCGTCAAGTTCTATCCAAACAATTGAACTTAATGGAGGACTAATTTCACATGATGCATCCAAGTTCCTGCCAGGAACTGATACTGATGTGTCATGAAATTCTGCAGCAAACACTAAGACTCTCTTGCTGCAGATCTCATCTTTTCACACGCTGTCCTGATGTGGTGGGACATCATCAGACCCTTGTCCAAAATGAAACCGAGGTGTCCAATTGATGTCCCAACATTAACAGGTTCTTCACCAGCAAAGATGACTTCTCTTCCAGTGCTTCTTGTACAAGGTTGGTACATTTCCTCATTTATTTAGGTATTTCTGATACATCAATGCTAATAGAAGGTGTTTAACTTCTCTTTCCCAGCTTTCCACTGAATGAACCAGAGCGCTGCGCCAAGTGGGTGCAAGCAACTCGGAGAGCGACCGAAGGGCACAATTTTCCAAGTAAATATTCTTACCTGTGCTCGAAGCACTTTCCGGATACTTGCTTCCGTGAGGCGAAAGGGCGAAAAGTCCTAAATTGTACTGCTATACCTTCGATTTTTAATTTTGTCAAAGAAGAGCCACAGAAACCAACCAGAAGAAGGTTGTTCCGTGACCTCCAAACGGCTGAGACACCTCCAGTCCCAAAACGGACCAAAGTGATTCAGAAACCTGGTATGTCCTCTTTTAAGTACGTTTTCTTTGATGTCTTGCTGCATTGTTTTTAACTTGATTTTGGTGTTACAGCTTCTCTGCTAATTTTCTTTCAAAAACAAATGCTGCATACCTGTGAAATACCCATTATTTCCTCTTACCAAAATCAAAGCTTGTCTCAGCCTTCAGCCTATCAGCCCTCCTGTTTCAAAGTTTGTCTGCACATGTCTGAGCATTCCCTCTTATCCCTTCCTCAGCAACATGTTGCTATCAAAACTGCCATTCTGAGCAAAAGAATTGCCATTTCCAATTTTACGTCCAAAACATGGGCACTTACTGAATTTTTTCCCCTCAATTCTTCGGAAAAATTGTCTTGGGGGCAAAAAAATATTTCCTCCAAATTGCATGCCCTGATGTACAAATTACCTTACTCTTATTCCTATGATAATATTACTTATTGTATTACATTGAAATTTTAAAAAATAGTTAATAATTGGGAGGTATTATAAAATGAAGTAGCTTCAGAAAAAGTTTCTTTATTTGGGATGCAATTTTCAACCCTTTTGCTCAGAGCGGTAGAGCAACCTCGAATCATTTTCCTCGTTTTCCTTCTTCTTGCTTCCTAGATCCGACTGTAACTGAGGTTATCGCCTCTGAGCATGATTATCATCAGCAGAATTCTCCATCAAAGGTTGCTGTTAAATTTCAAAGGAAAATAAAGAAATACCAACGTAAATTGCGTTTGAAAAGACAAAAGATTTGTAGGCAGAAAAATAAAATCTTTAAGTATGAGGAAATTTTGAAAGGTATCAAGAAACGAACATGCCTTGAAGGACAGGCAATGTCACAAATAATTGCTTTGAGGAAGTTTTAAGGGGCCTGGTGAAGAGTCCCGAAGAGAAAGAAAAGAATCCTAAGGGGGAGAAAATCAAACTTAAAGAATATTCTCAGCCGGTTCGAGTATTTGCCCTGACCCTTCATTTTTACTCTGCTAAAGCTTATGGTTTTCTACGAAAACACATAAATTTGCCCCATCCTCGTACTTTGCGTCGTTGGGCAAAACCTGGATTTACAGCAGCAAGCAAGGTGTGTGTTTAGCATAGAATAATAAGGCGTAGCCTTATTATTCTATGGTGTTTAGCAAGGTGTAGTTCGTTGGGGGGAAAAAACACTTCCTCAACCCTCAACAACACTCCAACGTTGTCCACCGCTTTTCACTATTCTACTTTTCACCAGCCACCGTTCTTTCAAAAAAAGCGCGGGAAAGAAATTGAGCGCTATTCTCAAACTGCACTGCCTCACACAACACGGAGTCTTCAGGATATCATACCACTAATTTTTTTAAAAAATTGAAAAATATTTGCGCATATTTTTCAATATGAGATTAATAAATAAACAACAAAAAAAAAAAAAAAACCAGCATATTAGCTAAAAATGTCGCCGAAGGACCATGCATTCGTGAAGAAAAATCGAGGAGGATTTCAAGCCGTATTATGTTAAATTGTTTTATTTCTAAAAAAAAAATAAAAAAAAAAAAAAAAAAAAAAAAAAAAAAAAAAAAAAAAAATTAATAAATGGAATATTGCGTGTAGGGTTAGAAACGTTAAAGATTGAACCCTTGCCTTGTCGGAAAATTGATATCACGAATGATTTTTGGACACTGTCAGCGGGTAATAATTTTTTGACAAATGAAGAATGCACAGAAATGGGTGTAACGGTTCGACTCTGCCAAAAAGTGAACGAAACACGTTACTACATTTTGCAATGAGGGAATATTTTTTTTGCTCATTTTAAAAACAATGCATGCGTCATTAATTTGCCTATACACATAGGTGCCTATATAGATGAACCTGACATAGGTACTAGTTTCCTATTTCAAAATACGTAATTCATTAAAACATTCCACTAGTCGCACCATGGCAACGCGATTGTTTACTGGCGGCCGCGATTCGGAGCGAATCAAGTTTCAATCAAGAATCATTTTTTTCTAACTCATTTTTTTAAGTGCCAATAACATATATAACGAACCAAATCAATCAAATTAAATATGAGCTTCAAATTTATTCATCTCGAGAAAAAAACTAGTCCACTCTACACAGATTCAGAGACTCAAGAATACATTACAAAATGGTAGGTAGGTAGGATTTTTTTAAGAAGCATCTTTATGCATACCATTAGTGTTCAGGCACAGAAAAGACAACAGTTACAATATCTTTCTGTAAAAATGTGAAAATAAGTGCATCTACATATGGTGAAATTATTTACCACTACGCCGTACGCCCCTTTCCCAGGGTCGAGTTTACAACAAGCGCACTAAAATGAGATGAAAGAAAATAAATGAGGAATAATAGGAGAGAGAAAATGAACCGTTAATATAAATATCGAATTTGATGGGAAGCATGAGTAGCAAGCTATTCGAAAATATTTATAGTGGTCATTCCCCTGCAGGTTTTAACTTAACCAATAGTCGATGTGTGATTCTTATGTTTGCAGATATCATTCACTTGAATCTCGCCTTCAATTTAGCCACATAGGCAACAAGCATACCTATTATCTATTTGAAAAATACAAATTCATATTGCTCCATAAGCTTCGATTTAACCGAAAAACGATGTTCTTAATGTGATGGTATATATCGTCCACCTGAAAGAAGCCTTCAATTTTGCTGCATAGGCAACACTCATACTAGAGAACAAGAATTGGATATTCGAAAAACATTTATTAATATCGCTCTATTAATTTTCTGAGCCAATTAATAGACCGTGCATAAATCGAATGACAAACATTGGCCACTGTGGGTTCGCCTTCAATTTCGACCCTTAGGCAACAAACATACGGGCGCTGGGGTGCGCGAATAGTTATCTATTCGAAACAATTACATTTATGACCCACCAAAGGCTTCGATTGAACTGAGAAACGATGTTCTGAACCCATTGGTAGAAATAATCCTTGTTGTCCTGCCTAACTTATTACCTTATTTCCAGGATTATACGTCTTTCTTCAAGTTCAGGAGGAAATTGTCTGTAATAGGTCCTTGTCTTTTTTCCAGGTCAATGAAGGGGAATTTAAGGATTCAACATTACTGCTTCAATGAGCCGTTTCAGCTGTATCAAAAAGAGGATTTAGTGAATGTGCGTACGATTATAAATAAAAATGCTGAGAGGTAACAGCAATAAGTATAAAAAAGTGATGTCGTGCTGTCAATGAGTGCTTCATTAACATCAATAAAAATTTCATAGAAGCCTGCAGCTAAAATACGAAATGATAAAAATGTTTCTTTTCGTCTTTTTTTCCTTACACTGGTGAAAAGTCTCTTGTATCCGGAGTCCAGACTCTTAAAAAATTCGACAAGATAAAATACTCTAGACTCTAGATTCAATCGAATTTTTGCCTGAATCGAGAGCAAAGCTCTTTGATGCAAGCTGGTTTCCTTTTGATTCAAGCAAAAATCCGATTAAGTCGAGAGTACATTTTTTTTGTCAAATTTTTTAAGAGTCTTGGATCAAATAGACTTTTTTCCCCTAGTTTTGTGTTCTGCTTTTCGTAAAGCTGTAAACAACACTTCTAAGAATGTTAATCTAAAAAAATTGAACAAATAGATTTTGAGATAGGGCTGGTACATAGATGTAGGGGACGCCTGACGGACGGACACACATTTTTTCTTTGATGTTTTTTACTCCAGGCATCTTCAGACGCCTAGAAATGATGAAATTTCAACTTTTTTTTTTTTTTTTTTTTTTTTTTTTTTTTATGATAATACTTCCTCTACCCACAAGGGCATGGAGCGAGAAAGTAAAAAATACCCAAGCCCAGAATAAATATTACCACTTGTATTATATACCTAACGCAAGAATGCAATCACATATCGACGGCTTAAGTCCGCTATCACATCTCTCGTTTGCGGTGTTTGAAAATCTTCGCCTCTACGTTATTTTTTTAAAGGAGAACAAATTGACATGATTCCTTTAAGTTTTTGCAGAATTTTCTTCTCACAGAGAAGAAAAATCACGGCAGTTTGAAAGAATTGCTGTTGAGTAGTTTTCCGTTTAAAAAATAAAGTATGACAGGAAGTCTGCGACGTCGCAAACCGAGTTATGTGATTGCCGACTTACACCGTCGATATGTTACTATTGCAATTTTGCGTTCGTTGTGGGAAAAATTAGGTACTTTTAGGCGCGTCCGCACATTCTCTTTCCCGCCACCCCTATGAGTTATCTGCTTGCTAGCGCTCGTCGCCATCTTAATTGATTCTCATGATCGCTCATTTTTCTTTTCTTGTTTTCACAGTCGTTCTTCCGTGATCCAAATGTAATCAACACGTTGGAGGTCGAACCATCCATTGTTTTAGGTAAAATGAGTGCAACATACAACGCATCATGTGCATGCAACATCCAAATTATTTTATTGCATAATTAACCCCTTTGCCCAAGCCGGGGTCAAAGGGACCCGAGGCTTGCTAGAAACATTAGGCCCACGGGTTGTGTGGAGCCGGTACATGCGATCTTTTAATATAGGTCTACAACTGCATCATAAATTAGAATCAGAGATCACGCTGAAGAAAAAAAATCGATTGCCAGGAAATTTTTTTTTGACAATCACCCTTAAATATCCCTAGTCGGGTCTAATTGACTATCTCCTCTGGGGGAGCTGTAGTGCCAATACATACGAGCTTCAGATATAGGTCTAAAAATATAACATAAAAATAGAATCAAACATCAAAGTTAATGAAAAGAAGAAGAAAGAAAAAAGTGTCGCAATACAGTCAAAGATAGTGACAGCATAGAGCAAAACATTGTGCGTTCACGCCTCTCGCCATCGCGCCTTCAATTTGGCAGATGCAACACGGACATCCATCAAGCACGAATAGTTGTATCTCTGCGCCGTCATCAACGCGCGTCCTTTTCCTTGCTCTATTCCCGTGTTGTGTTGCTGTTGGTGCCGTTTGTTTTATTCGTAGAAGTGCTGTAAGGACTAATACCTTCAAAAGCTTAGAAAAAACATAGATGATATCTCGAAAACTATCAAAATCAATACATTTAAATACACGTCAATTCGACCCGACTTTGGACTTCGCGTGTAAAAAAAAAAAGTTTTGGGCATCTAAGAGTTATAGTGCCACAGCATTATAAGTGCATTTATGATGAAATCATAACAACGTGAAACTGTCGTTGTAGTCTTTCAACATTCCGCTAACTTCGCAACTAAGTGCCATTCTGTCGTACTAAGGAAAAACGCCGTAAGAACCTTCAGGCGTTGCCAAATTTTCTTTGATAAAACACGAATTCCCTGGTAAACTTAAGAATATTTTTCTTCCAATTTTTCACAGAATGTTTGTATTTCGTATTTTGATCTAAAGTTCCTGAAAATTTCAAGGAAAATTATTCATATTTTCCCTCAAAAATAAATATTTCATCAAAGGAAATTTGGCAACTCTCGAATGTTCATACAGCGTTCCTCCTTGTCACGGCAGCATGACTGCCATGCATTTTTTTCACAAGGGAACTGAGCCAATATTTTTGCATAACATTTTTAAAAACGATGTTCAGACACTCCAAACAATATCATTTATTCGTGGGGAAAATTAGATAAATGAATATGATTCGGAGAACGATATCAGCGCGATTTCCGGGGCGAAGTAGGTAAATTAAATGAAAATGATTCCATGATAGAAGTGATTTGAACGATTTTTAGGGCGACCGTGTTAAATTAGATAAATTAAATTAATTTGATTCCATGATAGAAGTAATTTGAACGATTACAGGGTGATCGTGTCAAATTAGATAAATTAAATTAAAATGATTCCATGATAGAAGTAATTTACGATTAATTTATAAACAATTTCAGGGCGATCGTGTTCGCGGGTTGAGTGGAGTCCGGTACCATGCAATGTTGTCTCCATGACTTTTTTCGATAAAATATTCGACCCACAGAACAATATTACTTTCGACGACAAGAAAAAAGATGTGAGGACTTGCGAGTATTCAGAGGTGGACGGTTTTGCCATCACGGATAACTTGAGGATGGTAAGAGTAACCCTAGAGTAATTCCAACAGTGTGTCAATGGAGCATTTGCATTTTTAATTGCTTCAGCTAAGATTGCTTGAAGAGATGATTCCGCAGAATTGTTTATAATTTTTCCTGAAATGGGAAAAAGTCTAAAAAAAAGCTATGAAAATGAGAAAATTCACCGCCTGGTGACGTCATCTGGCGGCTTTTCTCATTAAAACACTTGTATCTCAGCAGATTAGATTATTTTGTGTTTTTGTGTGCTATTTTGTGGGTTTTTTCAAATATCTTTTCCAATAAGTGCTCAATTTTTGAATCAAAGGTATCCTTCGTAATCAGTTCACTCAGTAGTTTCCACTTAAACACAAGTTTCATCAAATTTCAAACTCTTGCAAATGCCCATTAAAAAAGCTGGATCGATCAGCGTCCTGCTACTACGTAAGAAAAACTTTCGGTCCGGGTCTTAGAATGGCATCACTTAGATTTTGTGAGATACCAGCCCTGGAGTAGCAAGACATTGATACATCTTTTGACACCGGTAACATTAAAAAACAAGGGGAAAAACGGGAAACAAGGCAAAATATAAATAACACCGAGAGGTTGGCCACCATCATGTAGGTCTCCGGTTTTTTTCGATATTTTTTCTTTATTTTTCACTTATTTTTTCGACTGAAAATGGCTAAGTTTTCGTCCAAAAAGTCTTGATGTTTTATCGTGAATTTTCAACCTTACTCCTCGTTTTTCTCCCTTGTTTATTCATGAGTAGCATGACTAGACACCAGACTTTATTTTATTCATAACTTGAAATTTTAACGATACACTCTCGAGACAAGGATCCGTTCCTGTCAATCCTTTTTTTTTTTTTTACAATCACCTGAATAACATTAATTAGGCACTCATTGAAATGGTGATGACAAACGGAAGGATTTACCCCTGATTTATCCTTCAAAATATAATCCTGGAACTGTGATTTCTGAAAGTCAAACAAGATTTTTTCACTCACGAACCACCAAATTAGGTGTCCCTGTCCATTGCACTTTTTAAAGATTCAATCATTTTCTAAACAGATGTTACTTGACGAGGAGGCCGACCTGTATCAATTATACAGTAAGACTGACAGAGAACAATTTTTGTTCCGCTTATTTAAACATCTTTGTTTGGGTGGACTCTGGTGTCAATATGAGGACTCTTTGCAGCCATACCTTGATGTCACAAAGTGCCTGTATAAAAATCTGCTGAGGTAATGCATAAGTTTTTTATATTAAGCCTCCAAATATTTTGACAAAGCAAACGCACTTATTACCAAAGTAGCACAGATTGCAATTGTAATTACGAGTTAAAATTAATGCCAGAGTGTACCAGAGCGTATATTAGAGTGTTGTGTACATTGTATATTCACTAATTGAAGGGGCTCCTCCTTTTGAAATGGATTTCAATAAAATGAAAATAAGCAAGTGCGATATTTCCTGGTTCAAAATTTACATTCATTGACCATAGGTACATTGTAAAAATATTGCAATTTCTTAGCTTTAAATTTTAAAATTACTTCAATGTTTGCGATGCACTGTGTTACTTGGGTAGTTGGTCAGCACAACATGCCACTCATGACTTAAAAATATTTGATGATGAAATTATCAAACGTACAACGGTCAACTTCCAGGCTAAAAACTGAAGTATGTCAAAACGAAAACTATTCATTTTTTTCAAATTTATACCACATTTTCACATAATTTTATTTTAAACTTATAAAAGTAATATTATGTTTCGAGAAAACTCTAAAAATTCATAGAACTTTAAAATATATATTACTTCTATTTCAATTCAAATGTCCACGAAAGCCGCTTTTTAAACACGGAACTTAAAAATATAGACACTTCTGAAGCTCAAATATATAAACTTTGCAACGCTGTATCGTTAAAAATATACTTACACCCCGGGTAAAACTTTTACAGAAGACTTATCTCATCATAAAATTGCATCGAAGCCCCATAAATATATCTCTTGGTGGCCGCAAAGTTCGTTCTTTAATTAAGAAACTTAACACTATGAGCATTTTTCATAGATCGCTTCGAGTTTATTAACGTGTATTGTGTCTCATATTTTGCAGTGCTGAGAAAGAGGAATCCTCGGGACAAATTATGATCAGATCGGTTGTCCTAGAAGTAGTCGTTTACGGAGACGAAGACAAGCCAATTTTACCCAAGGATCCTGGGAAAGATAACAATTTTGTGTACTTAATAATTGACCCAGTTGAACGAGCGGTGACGGTTCTTGTTCATCAAGTTGGATGTTTAATCATTTAGGATAGAATGAAAATAAAATTTTACAAATTTTTGTTTCAACCGGAGGTTTCATTTCTCTCTCCATCAAGGATTGATAACTAGGACCAAACTTGATTGCAATTAGGAACTAAAACTGGTTCAACTGTAAAAACCCTTATCGATAGTGAAAGTGCATAGTGCGTTTCTCGGAAAACACGATTTTCCATGGGAGTAAAAAACTGTCTAGATTCCTCTTTATTAATAGTAGAAGGGTAATAATTCTTGAGGATAGCAAGAATAATATGCTTTTTTAGACTTCATCAGCATTTTGAATAATTTCTCGAACTGTCAGGAAATACGGCAGGAATGCCGAGATTCGCGTTTTCGGCATTAAGAATTGACACTTCATCACGAGATACGCATTTTTGCAATCAGTGTCACCGCCATAGCGAAGAGTCAAATGATTGGTCTTTCAATTTTTGCTATCCCTGGTAAAAATTGGCAGTAGAATCTGTGCTCCAAAATACCATAGACCTGTAGCCGGCTACACAATTTCCTATAGCCTTTTATAGCCGATGGCAAGTAAGCAACAGCCAGGCGATAAAGTATATGCTAAACGTTACTAATTACGGATGCTAGGACTTAGTGAGTTTTTGGACTACTGCTCTCTTTTTGGGCCGTAGTATCTTGATTTATTTCGAGGAAAGCTCCGTACTTTTGATGGATGGAGCGCCTCCAGTTTCGTATGATACTGTGCAATAGATCGTATTCGATACATCAAATAGATGAGATTGTATCGATATCGATTGGTTCAAAACATAAACATAGCCTCAATAGTCAATTCAGAAATCTGAGGGAACGGGTCTTTTGAAGTAGATTTTTTATTCTTTTGAGTACCAAATGCCAATGCAAAGTGAAATTGTGAGGAATGTTCTCATTTTCAGCTTTTCCAACTTAAATCCTAATTGTTTTGTTTGAGGTTATGTTCTATTGTTTTGAACCAAACGATACATCGAACCACTATCGAATACGGTTTATACCTCTGGTGTGAAATAGTTGCTTCAAGCGCCGTGGCACGCTGCGGCGCGGCAGGCGGGCAGCCAGCGCGAAACGCGCATTGGTGCCTGCAAACCTAACAGGGATACTTCACGCGTTGCGCATTGCGTGAAGTATCCCCGTTAGGTTTGTAGGCGCCTGTGCGTCGCCGCTCCGCTTTGTGTTAAGGCTCTAATATTTAATCCGGCGGAGTCATCATTATTCAAATCATGATTTTGAAATGTTTGCACATCCTGTATGGATTATTCTCATTTTAATTCATGAAAAAAAATACGTATTAAAGGAAAATATAATGTGTGTTTTGTAAATATTAAGGTGGTTCCGTACCAAACTTAATGATTTCAAAAACACACAAACTACACAATTTCTTGCAGTTTATTATAATCGATGGCGAAAAAGCAACAGCCAGGCGATAAAGTGTAAAGCCCGGCGATAGGAACTATAGCCCGGCTGCATAATTTTTTATCGCTTCGTATAGCCCAGCCGTATGATTTTCTACGCATTCTGCAGCCAGCTATATGATTTTCTGTAGCCTTCTTTAGCCGGCTATGAGAATTCCTATGGTATTTTGAAACGCAGCTCTTATCGCCAATTTTTACCAGGGATAACGGGATTTTCGTTGTTTTAAGCGGCGTTCAAAGTAGAGGGACGGCGGATGGGAAAAATGAAAATAGTGAAATCGTGCTTTCATCAATCTCAGATTCTTAGATGTTGGATGTTTAGATGTTGGCTCCTCGTACATGAGTGGTCGTCGAACAAGGTGAGTGTTAAAGTACCACAACACAAAAAGCAAGCGACATGAGTAACAAATTATTATCTATTTTGAAAAAAAGTAACAAGTGTAGATTATAAAACATAAATCAATGTACTAGAGTTTGATCACTTTCCAAACGAGTTTCATTATGCGTAGTGACACCAAGTTGAGAGAAGTAATTTCTAAATTCATCCAAATGTTCCGGTCTGAATTTTTCAGGATTTTCCTCCATATATCGAAGCACCGACAAAGCAGCTCCTGTGATGATGAATCGTTGGCCGTAGACGTGAACTATGGAGCCTAGAATTTCAAAAGAAATTAGATGATTGAATTGGGAGAGAGAGGAAAGGGTGCTGGCGCTGGGGCAGAGAGAAAAAAAACTTCGTATGCATGAGACCCGAAGTTCAAGTAGGATGAATCTCTGAAGTTTTCGAATTGTGGTCCGAAAACTTCGGGTTCAGCTGCCGAAGTTGAGGTCACACATCTGAAGTATACTTCGGTATTTTGGTTGACTCCGTAGAAGTTTCAACCGAGTACCAAAGTACTTCAGGCGTGTGACCTCAACTTCGGCAGCTTGACCTCAAGCTTTCGGATGCTTGATGTGAAGTTTTCAGCGATCGATATGACCTCAACTTCGGATCCCATGCACGAAGTTATTTTTTCTTCGTACGGGAGGGAGGAAAAGGAGAGCGAAATTGAATCCATGTCCTTCAAAAGGCAAGGCGACAGTGCATTTTCTTTCATTCCAAGAGCATTATTATGCCGAGCATATTGTGCGAGAACATACCGTTATGACTTCTGAATTGAACTTTTACTTCACACGATTGGATTGCTTAGATTTTTTAGGTGGGATCACATACATATATTGTGGTAGCGTGGCGTGAATTGCGATGTATCGATTGTTATGTAATTTGAACCAATGGTAAAGAATCGATTATTAAGGTGTTCGCTGCGAACACCCTATTTATCGATCCTTTTACATAGGTTTAAATGGCATAAAAATCGATTCATCGCAATTCACGCCACGCCACTGATTGACGGTGAAACTACGAAACTTCGTATCTCGTTTGCGGAGTTTAAAAATCTCCGCGCTTTCATTTTATTTTTTGGAGGGATCTAAAACGAATCAACAACATACCTTAGTAGGGGGAAAATCTGATTAAAGCGGGCTCATCTAGGGCGTATCACCTGTCGATGACCAAAAAAATCACGGAAATCCGCCCAGTAGAGCGCTCAAACGAGCTATGACAAAAAATAAGAATTTACATTGTTTAAATGAGAGAATCCGCAACTTCACCACGTAATATAGAAACACCTGGGTCATATTTTCAAAATCTGAATAAAGCGGGCTCATCTAGAGACAATTGCCTGTTGATAACTGCAAAAATCATGAAAATCGGCCCGGTAGAACGCTGGAACTAAGCGTTACCAGATAGGCAAAAGGAGGTCTTGGAGCTTATAGTATAGAGAGAAGATAGTTTTCACAGGGTTTTCTTCGCACAGAGAGGAAAAATCTAAAAAATTTCGAGAATTTACGTTGAGCAGTTTGCTATTTAAAAGATTGAGTATGACAGGAAGCCTGCAACCTCGCAAACCGAGATACGTGGTCTGATATAGTTTCACCGGCGATATTGTCCCCGGTTGTAAATTTTTACAGCCTCGTGGTAAGTAAATCGCATGTGAAAGTCATAAACTACTGACTTGATAATTAAGTATAAAAATTCATCCGATTGTCTCAGAGATTCAACTTACCTAATCTAAAATCGGTTGGATTATAATACTGTGGATAATTCGTGTCGGAGTCAGGTTTCATGAGAAGCATGGGTTTCAAGAAACGGCCGCCTTCAAAGCCTGAATTTTTCACTCTTTTCTCTGATATTGACAGAAGTCCATCAGCTAGCGAATAGTGGATGACAAATTCCCTGTCCTTATCCTCAGGGTGTATCCAGTCCAGTCGTGCCTTGTACCTAAGAACCTAGACAAGTATGACATTGATTCGAAATTAAAACAGAGGGCTGTATGAGGAAGTATGCCAAATAGGAAGTAAGATGCGTGATTTTATCAATTTATTGGTGGGGAAGGTTCACCACACAGGACAGTGGATCTATTTCACCAAATTAAGGAGAATAGGTGTAATTGTTGTTTTAAGGAGACGCAATTTGCTTGACATCCCACATAAAATTTTGTCTCCTTGTAAAACTCTTCACAATGTTACGGACCAATTCAAACAAATGTTAGGTGCAGGCGATAAAATTGTTAAAAGGAGACAAAATTTGTGTGGGGGGAGAGGAGCTGACAATGAATCCTTGATCCGTTCTAAGTTTGATCAAAATTGATCAAAGTTTCCCTATAGAGGAGGTCAAATGAATATAAAGGGATGGGGCCTGTTACCCCTTTTCCCTCCCTCGTGATAACCATGCAACAACATGTGGAAGATGAAACTTTAGAGGAAAGGAAGTGAAAGTTCCTCATTGTCCTCTAGAGGAAGTGGTGCCCAAGCAGCAATTTTCAACGGAAAAATCGCGATATTTTGAAATTAAGTTGCGATTTTTTGGCGATAAGATCGCTAGGATCATCGACATCTAAGCGATTATCTTCGATCTTGTCGCAATTTTATCTTGGTGAAATCGCGTTCAATAAAATCGACATCTTGTCTCAATTAATCACGATTTTTTGTTTTATAATATTGCATAAATCGTGACTTTATTGCAAATTTAAGTGATGAAATCGCAATTTATCGTAATTTTTCATCCGATAAATCAACATCGATAAAACTGCGAAACATTCTCAGATCAAATCTCAATTATCGCGATCACTGCTACTTTGGGGTGGGTAGCGCAGGAATTTTCTACCAATTCTGAAAGTAAGGGGCTCTATAAAGGCTACCTTGGAACAGAATCTCTTCTTGTGTTTTATTTCGTCGAACCTCTATCGTAAGAGCGTATCTGCATTTTGAAATAAGCCACGTCATCCGTATGATCCTGTGCTTTACAGAACTCACGTCCGAAGAAGATATGCGTTTACGTCAGAGCTACGACGCGTGTCCTCTTTTGTCAGGACATCAATCAGAATTTTGCAATGGAAGAAAACCCACATCTTTTAAAGTTTGCATTTTGTGCGTCTACTCAAACAATGTGTCACTCCGGAATAGTAGAGTAGCGTGCTTTGCGATACATCGGTGGACCTGTCATTTAAACCTTTGTAATGGATCGATATACAGAATAATCGATGCTTTCCCATAGCTTCAAAGGGGGAAATATCGATGATCGATCTCGGAACATTATCAGACGGGGACTGCACTAGTGCACTTGACCATTTTGAGGTGATGTAAATCACATCGCTCTCTTTAAGTCAAATTTCTGAAAGATAGCTGTTGTATTATACTGTAGGAGAATCTATGGATTATAAAGAATGGTGCAAATTCGGTAACTCCTTACTTTTCCAGCATTAGTGACGTATTGAATCATATTTTTTTTCAGAGGCACCGGCTTGAGAGTCAAACAAGACTGTATGGTATCTTCCGGTTGACCGATCCCAATGTGAGGCGGAATCATCTGTAGAGAAAGATAATATAGTGTATTATAAGGAAAAATTTAACCCAGAATAGTACGCATCAAATTCAAAATTTTAGCCGTAAATCTCTGGAGGCACATTCACTCGGAATTTGACGAATAAGAGCGGCGACAGACCAATAAGTTAATATTATTTTTATTGGATTTAGTCCAAACGCGAATTCCTAATTTATTTTACGGATGCAGTTTACTTTAAATTTAAGGCTTTTAATGGTACCTACCCATTAAAATGAATGATGATATAAAGTTAAATGCATAAAGCATTAGCATAAATGCGGTATTTGAAAGTTCAAGGCAAATCGATGGTGAAAGTACTAAAATGCCTATCTCTGTTGCGATGTTTCGAAATATCCGCTACTATTTTATCTTTTAAACGAAGACAGAACCAACATCATTAATTGAAGTTTTCATATAATATCTTTCATAAAAAGAAGAAAATTCAGTAAATGTTTCAAAAAATGACGTTCAGTAGTTTTTCATTGAGAAAATCAAAATGGCAGGGAGTCTGCAACACCGCAAACCGAGGCACGCATTTATGCTGTTTCACCACCGATGTGTAGAAGGGTCCCTATTTTTTAATGAAATGTAATTGTTATCTAAGTATACGACTAAGTTTCTTTGAAGAAAAAAATAAACTATGTTGGAAACTGGAGTGTTATACCTATTTTTTAATTAATTTAAACACATAATATGAATATTGGGGAGCAATGGAGTTCTCACCGGAGTTATTTTAAATCGCTCCTTTGGTTCCTTTACGTCTATTGCCGGGCCTTGTTCAATGTTCAAACAATTCTTATAAAATCTTCTTGTAAAGAGATCGCAGTCATACAGGAAGAACCTAGACAAACACGAATTTCTTTCAAGGAACAAATTTTAACCCAGAAGCATTCTACGTGTAATTGTGTTATCTGAAAGCGCTTTCAACCTTTCTTCAGCAAATGAGTACCAGAAGAGGTCATATTTCTACTCTTAAAAAACTGATGAGAACACCCCCCCCTCCAAATCTCTATAGTTTCAATGTATTAATTAAGATGCTACTGGCCGCAGGACATCAACAGATTCTGAGAGAGTGTACATCTATCATTGATTTACTAAATAAAACTATTCTAGCATGAGAGTCAAGACATTGCCTGAGCGACCGATTGAAGGCTCTCGTTGCCCAAAAGCATTAGTGTCAAAGCTGAGGACAGGAAGGAACTCTGCGAGGTAAGCGCTAACGCAAATATTAGTAATTTGCAGATTATTTTTATATTTTATTACTAAGGAAAACCATCTTACTGTTTTCTCAGTATGTGTAATGTTTCTCCAACTAGGAGGTCTCGGGGACCGAAATATTCTACATTTTCCATATCAGCTGCATCCGGCGAGCTTGCATTCGAGGCTGAAATCCAAACGGGTAGACGTGAAAAGAATGGAAGAGAAGAATCGGATTAGATTCTCTTACATACTGATTAGAATTCCATAAATTCCATTGGGAAGAGAACTTATTATGTTTTGACAAAAGAAGCATGTTTTGAATAGCATAAGTCAAGTCTTAGAACCAAAATTTTGCTCTGTGCTATACTCGAAAGACCAAAATTGGTTAATTTAATGGACATTCCAGTCAAACTGAAACAAGCATACTCTTTCAATAATTTGATTCATTTTGCACGAGTATCAAAGGTCACAGCTATACACTGAAAAAATAGGATTGCTAATTCACCGATTTAGGGTGGAGCAAAATTTGCTCGTAAAGCTTTCTTATCCGTGCACGGTGTTGAGTGAAGTGAACGACTAGCACGAATTGTCACACCGATTTGCTACATCTGCGCGCCTTCATGCAGTTAATCTTGCAGTGGCTTGGAAGTGTAACTGCATTTTTTGGTATTGGTACTTTGCGAACAGTAAAATTAGCTCAATAGTAAGGCTAAAATAGCGGAATTTACGGAAAAATAGCGAAATTTACGGAAGAATAACTAAAAAGGTAACAGACGTAGCTTTTCAGTGTAGCAAAATCACCTACACGCGTGTGTGTAAAGTTAGCTGAAAGTGTAGCGATTTTACCTGCATGGTTTGCACGTTCGTTTTTTAGCTCACCATGCAGTTGAAATACCCGCGTGCACGGCAATTTCAGCAATATTTTTTTTTCAGTGTATGCTTTCCTATCGCCTCCTATAGCTGGCTATAAGAATTCCTATTTTATTTTGAAACGCAACTCCTATTGCCAATTTTTACGAGGGTTGTTCGAATACATTTTACAAATTTGGAATGCGGTTACGTGAGAGACGAAATATGAAATACGTGGGGCACGCCAAGTATGACGTCATATCACGTTTGGCGGGCGCGATTGAAAGTAAACACTTTAAGTGAGTCTCTATACCTGGCAGGATCTCCCAGTTTTTTGGTACTCTCATTCGGTTGAGTACTCGTGGAAACGGGTCTCTGCCGCTGTTTATTTCTCTCGCCTCGAGAATTTCCATCCGGTCGTCTGAGAGGTAGTAGTAGATGGTGCACGGTCGTTTTTCGTTCGATTCTCCGTCACTATTCAGCCACACCGCATAAAACCTACGATTAAAAGCGTAAGAAAAAACATATTTAATCGAATACAGCCAATCATTAAATATCAACGTCTTTAGAAATGAGGTCGTATATCGACGGTGTAAGTCGGCGATCACATAACTCGGTTTACGACGTCGCAGACGTCCTGTCGTACTTTATTTTTTAAACGGAAAACTACTCAACGGCAATTCTTTAAAACTGCCGTGATTTTTCTTCTCTGTGCGAAGAAAATTCTGCATAATCTTCAAGGAATGATGTCAATTTGTTCTCTTTTAAAAAAATTACCTAGAGGTAGACGTTTTCAGACATTGTAAACGAGATATGTGATTGCGGACCTGCGCTGTCGATATGTACCTCGCAAGAGTCTTATAATTTTTCAGGTGTCTTCTTCTCGTCAACTTGAGTCCAGTTTGATTTAAGGTGACGCATGAGAAACGTAAGAAGTGCCCGCACAGCCAAAAATGAACCATACAGTACTTCCTACATTATTTAAAATTTAGTGTCATCAAATGGCTGTCCGTGACCTCCAATCTAAATTTCTATACGTTTCTGTCGTCTTTTTTTTCGTGATGTTGGGTTCGTCCGCATTTTAACGTCCTTAACTTTAATTTCAAAATATTTCGGCTAGATTTGTCGGACGGTCAAAGCAATAGAGTTGTAACTTACTGAAGATAGCAGTGTATTAAAGTCATTAAATACTGTGCCTGATGAATGAAATAATCATAAAAGAATCAGCTGATTCGAATTCCGGCAAAGTAATAAAAATCGAAAGCTCTGAGCGCCCGCCGCACAGTGGATTGAGTCAATGAGAGAGAACGGACAGAAACTTTTGGACTAAAAGTGCAAATGTTGATGTTTATTTCGTCACATTTTAAATTTTAAGGGGTGCCTCGAGAAGAAAATTTCACGAGAAAATCATTGAAACCACTTTTAGAACCTCAAAGTTTTGTATAAACGGAGTTATAAGCGTTTACAGTTTCCAGATTTTGTCCGACCTCTCCTATTGACTCGATCCACTGTACGCCGCGACGCCGGTCGTTTCCTTCAATTCACATCAGCAACTATTTTAACCCTCCGGAGATCAAATTGCCTAACCGACGAATTGAAGGAATTTGGAAGCCGACGTATTGTGCCCCTGCGGTCTTACTAAAGACAGGCGTCCATCGTTTCCGCGAGTTCGCTTTCACCTCGAGCAACTATACTAACTCCCCGGAGATAAAATTGCATACCCGACGAAATGAAGGAACCCTAGAACCATTAGAGGAACCGCTGATCCACGGCATGAAATTCAATTTGAAAAGGGAAAGAGAAAATGTAGAAAGCACGAAGGAAACGAATAATCCTTTTCCTACTTCTCCAACTCGGTAAGCTTAAAATTGGCCGGTCAAAAGGCTTCATATTTTTAATCGTATACTTTTAATTGTTTTTCCCTAGGAATTTGACAATGTACCTTAAAACTTTTCCATCGAACTGTAGATATTGTCTAAATTTCTCGTCCGCCAAAGTTTGTTTGCGAGCACTTTTCAGAGGCTCGTGTTTTTCTTGAGGAGTCGGGTCGACTGGTAACTCTCGTTCTTCGTTCATTTCTAAACCTTGACTCAATAAAAATTCCTGAAAATATAAACGCAAACAAAGACAGTAAAAAATATTTTTTTCGTGTAGACGAGAACCGTTAGAGTTCACGGGAATAATATCTCAAGATGCGTAAATTAATTTTACCTAAAAGGAAGGTACCAAACCTGCATGTTGAATTCTACGGGCCGCAATAATATAACGCATTCCTTAGCCAGGAAAATCTCTTCAGGTAAATATGAAGTTTTGGAACATGGCGCGTTTGTATGACGTTTCAAAAATACTCTGGTTTCAAAACTCGGGCTCCTCATAAATGTCAAAACTTGCCAAAAGGGGCTCCTTCGGGCCCTATATTGGTAAATTTAGGGGGCGATCGCCCCCTCGCCACCTAGCTCAATCCGCCCCTGCGTGTCAGATGTGCTTACCCGTGTGAATGCATCGCAGTTGCAAATACGGTAGCTGATGCCATAGAATCGGACATCGATGTCAACGTTAAAATCCTTCCAGTTCCACGGATGCCCGGTGCTTTCATTTGGTACGCGATCTCGCCGAACGAGCTTCCCCTGCGTCAAACCAGAATTCTGCACAAAATAATACGAAAGAGAATGAATCTTGAGATTAACATAACCGGAAATTAATAGAAGTCACCCATGTAATTTTTTAAATTTAAAATTGAAATACCTCGGTTCAGCAAATTCGAAGAGAAAAATTCTTGAAAGATAATTGAATCTCGTCGAATGACATGTTTCAGACCTCTGTAACAGAGCGTAATTATGAAGAGGCTGATTCGATGCTGCCCATAACAAGTCCTGACTTGGAGCTACAATTTCAGGCTCAGTTTAGAAACAGCTTAAGTGCCATCATTTTTTCTATGCACACAAGTATTTTTACGGATGAGCCAGAAATTGTAGCTCAAAGTTATAAAATGCAGTCCATTTAAGGACAGCCTCTTGATTCGGTGTGAACAGAGGTGTATTTGTTGGAACTCTACAAAATGAAATTTAACGAAATTTGTAAAACCTCTGTGATGAACTCAGTATGCCATGAATCGCATGGAAACAGTGAGATCTCAATTTTGAAATATTACAAATAAATAAAAAGTATATCACGAGTCAGTTTTTTTTCTTAACAAATTCTCAGATAATTAATGCGGACTGCATGCTCAGTCCCTGAAAAATCGTTTAATTTTCATGGAGAAAAAAATTTCACTTTTTAGCAAAATGAAAACTCATAAAATTTCATTTTGCATCTCTGAGTGTGAATATTCTCATTTTTTAATATTAAATCACTGATAAACTCACGTGTACTGGCGGCTCGACGACTGTGAGGGTGTCATCCTCCAGATAGTAAATTATGTTCACAATCCGCGTCCTAATTCCTTCAGTGGAGGGCTCGGGCACTCTCTGCTGGAAGAACCCTCGAAAAAGGAGACACTTTTTGTCGTACTCGGCGTAGTGCGGAATCACTTTCGCCATCACCGGCGTCTTCGTCCGCCCGTAAATCAGCGATGGGTCCAAAGTGCTGGAATTTGAAGCGTAAGTTCGTAATTAGAAGTATATTTTTACTAAAAGGAACTATAATGTTACGCGCAAACCCTATGCACATAGGTCCTTTTAGCATGAATACGTCCAATTGAGGAATGGAAATTCAAAACCTAGTAAGCACCCTCAGACCTTGCTAAGACTGTACATGATGCTTTCAGGGGCGCAGAATGTTCACGAACAGACGACCGATTGGTCGTTAGGGAAATGCGTAGGCCGTGGGAAAATTACGTAGACTACGACTTTGAGTAATGGATGATATGAAATTTAATACGTTTTGACCAAAATGTGCTCCATTTTTGCGATCCGAAAGCTAGGCTAGGTTACGCATTTCCAGATGGCGTGTGCATCTCGGAACTTACCGCGGGCACCCGGCGTGCTGCCAGCTCGAAACTCGCACCGACGCCTACAAACCTAAGGGATACTTCAAGCACTGCGCAATTCTTGGGGTATCCCCTTAGGTTTGTAGGCGTCAGTGAGAGTTTTGAGCTAACAGCACGCCGCGCCGCAGCGTGCTGTAAACTTGCCTACAATTTATTGGTCAGGGTGTTAAAATGGAGGCAATTTGACATCAAAATCGAAATTTGCGACTCAAAAAACATCAGTCACGGAACTTTCGTGATCTTTCCTTCCAGTCATTATACGACTTATTTCTTCCTACTATTGAGTTTTGGACCATATTGAGCACGGAGAGACGGTGCGATGCTTGAAGTATCCGTACAGTTTTGCAGGCGCTTTCCGCGATGGTTTTCCGCGCTAAGATCAAAGTTTCAGATAATTTCTTTCTGGAGATGAAGTCTCTATTTCCAGATCTGGTCACAATGCATTTAGAAGCAAAACTTTCACGCATATCAACAATGAAAACAATGAAAACAACAATGAAACCAATGAAATAGAACAACAATGTGAAACACATGAAACACAACAATGAAATAGAACTTGGTCTCTTTTCGGCTGACTCAGAGATGTTAACGCAGAGTAGAAAAGTTGGATGAGACGAAACCTGTGATACAGCTTTTTCGACTTTCAAGAAGATAAAATGGCATATCCACAGACTGAGGCGAAATGTAAACTTTTTTTGGCTTTTAGTTTCATTTTCTGGACGAGAATCTTAATTCCCAAACCACTGGATTTCTGCTAAATGAGAGAAACGGTTGCGCAATCTTAGATGGACGCAACCCCTGATGGGGCTTACGAGGTTTTGAATTTCTGCTTTTCAATTGAATTCTACCGTACTAAGGGGGAAAACATACTAACCCTCGCCCCTTTATCTCTACCAAATTTTGCATGGTGAAACACGAGGGGCTTGTCGATATTTTCCTTCCAATTTTTCCGAGAATTTCATTCGCAATTCGATCCAAAGTTCTGGAAATATTCCAATGGAAAATATTCAGAACTCTTCCCCAAAACAAGACATATTATCGTGGGAAATTTGGCAGCATTCGAATGTTCATGATTTTTCCTTCGCGCGGCAGAAGTGACTTTAGTTTGCAATAGGGAACTTCAATTTCTGGCTAATCCTCAAAAACACGTATGTGAATAGGGAAACCAATGGTACAAACGTTCTTCCTAGACTGAGCTAGAATTTGTAATTCCTTATTGCAAAATGCGGTCCAATTACTGCATGGCAGGGGAGACGAGATACTCCGAAGAATGGGACATTACGTGCGCATGGTGGGTTTTCAAACTTCTCGAGTTGTAAACCTTTTATCGCTGCTGTCCTGGCGCTGCGCCGTGAAAATTACCCGTGGAGGAGACGTTAACAACAGTTAGAAGCACCGAGCGTTTCCTTCGATTTCAACAAGTTAATAAGCCGCAGTCCCCGATGCATCTGCATTAATGCATTATTTATCAGAGCACAGGTGCATGTGACCGTAAGTGTCGTAACTCGGAACTTTCTAGCCAGCGGCGGGGCGTGCTTTGCGATGTATCGATTTATCTATCATTTAAACTTATTGAAAAGTATCGATAGACAGGGTGTTCGCAACGAACACCTTAATAATCGATTCTTTACCACAGCACTAAACGAGGAAATTAATCGATCATTTACGCCTCGATCGCCACCAGGGGCGTAGCTAGGAAGTTTCTCTTGGGGGGGGGGCATGGGACCACCTCTCGTGGTGAAGAGAGCGGGGGGGGGGGGGG